ATTATTTGGCTTTTAGCGCTGCATGAGTTGTGTTGTCCCCTTTTTATCAATATCTAACCACGCAATCAACTCAACTAATAACTGAGTATCATTGTTGGCTATTCAAATACAATACCTCCTGGACTATCAAACGTACCTGCATATAAGCCGCACAAGCGATTTGAAGAGAAAGTACATTTTGTCCACATATAGGCCACACTTGAATATAAGCCACAGGATTTAATGTTGTGATGTAGCAGATAGATGACAAGTTGATCTACTAGTCATAACATGATTTCACGACGCAGTGTTTAACAGCTTAACTGTTAGCTTCCATGCTGATACAACAGTCTATTATGACAATAGACAAGTGTCCTATAGCTACTAAAATGTGATGGAGTCAAAATAATAACTCCATAAACACTGCTTTGACAAACAGCGAACCTTTATCAAATAAACAAATATACTATATGATATATCGGCACATATTGTAGTAGTCTGAGGCACTACTTTTAACTAACCCTAACCTAATCTTAACCCTATCCTGAAGAGGGGCGTTGGCTCACAGAACCATATCATCACTCAATAATACTTTTGCGTACATGGCTTCCTGTGACTGAAAAAGGCAAATGTTTCCCAATTTGTTTTCTGCAGTCTGAGTCAATGTTTGTGACCAAGATTCAGATCGAATAATAGATTCATGCATAGAACATGCAGTGATACTAGAAGTCTGAACTAACTTATAATGCCATATCTCAGTAATATAACCAGTAGTAGTAATATAACAGTATTTTTGATAGTTATTATATCAACATTAAAGCAGGTGGTATAGAACCGCTGGTAATTATGTACAGAAGTAAACACGACTCAAGAAACAGTTTGTGACTAAATGTTTTAAAAGGAATATCAAGCTGTTATCCGACAGTTAAAATATTCATTCAACAGAGAAAGAATTTCCACCAATCCGTGACGTCAAAAGCCCGCCTCCAAGAGGTGATTGACAGCCAGGAGAAACTGAACCAGCAAATCAGCGCAGTCTATGATCAGCGCATGCATAGACTGTTAATACACGCGTCTGTGTCTGTGTTAGCTTCATGTCAACTTGGAAAAAAATTTTTTGGGGGTTAAAGATGCTATATTATTGTATTATAATCAGTAATTTAATTGAAAACTTGAGCTCATTGATTCAGCTTGTGTATGAGTTCAGGCTGTAAAAAGTGCTGAGTAGAGACTTATTCTGACGCCCGCTCTCCTCCACTCACAGAACAAGGCTGCGTCCTCTAGCCTCTACAGCGCTGCTAAACACAGTAGCATGTTAGCAGAATTGGCTATAACTCTTCTTGCTGTAACTGCAGACACAGCAAAACAGCCCAAACGACACAACAGTGAGGAAGAGAAGAGGGAACTAAAGCGAAATAATGATCGAAGAAGAAATCAAGCCCGGGTGAACATAGCTAGCTTACATTGTATCCTCTGGAGAGACTTGTCTATGGGAGAGACCTGCGGGACCGCCTTGGAATATCTATGCTCGGACTACATTTGGATGCGGAACTAGCGGTACTCTTTCAGTTATACAGTGCGAAAGTATTTGGCCCCCTTGAACCTTTCAACATTTCGCCACATTTCAGGCTTCAAACATAAAGATATAAAATCTACATTTTTTGTCATGAATCAACAACAAGTGGGACACAATTGTGAAGTGGAACGAAATTTATTGGATAATTTAAACTTTTTTAACAAATAAAAAACTGAAAAGTGGGGCGTGCAATATTATTCGGCACCTTTACTTTCAGTGCAGCAAACTCACTCCAGAAGTTCAGTGAGGATCTTTGAATGATCCAATGTTGTCCTAAATGACTGATGATGATAAATAGAATCCACCTGTGTGTAATCAAGTCTCCGTATAAATGCACCTGCTCTTTGATAGTCTCAGGGTTCTGTTTAAAGCGCAGAGAGAACCATGAAGACAAAGGAACACACCAGGCAGGTCCGAGATACTGTTGTGGAGAAGTTTAAAGCCGGATTCAGATTCAGATTACTTTATTGACCATTGTGCAAAACACAGTTTGACTTGGCAACATGACAGTGTGCATTCATCTTTATCACATAGTGCAAGAGAGGATTTGGATACAAAAAGATTTCCCAAGCTGTAAACATCTCAAGGAGCGCTGTGCAAGCAATGGGCCTCATTCACGAACGGTTCTTAGGAACAGATTTGTACGTAAATCCTACTTACGAGGTTTTACGAAGAAAGTGGCATTCACAAATTTTTCTCGTAACCAGAATTTCTCTTGGGCAAGTACAAATCCTACGAGTCCTCAGGAGCACTCGTACGCATTCAGTGCCGACATGTTCACACGCCGGGGTTGTCCTCTTTGGTGAAGTTTAATAAAAATACAACATTCCAGGCATATGTCCGTCATATCGATGTATGTATTTATTTATTTGTAGTAATCTTTATTTATATACCGCCTTTTTCACTGCAGATCTGGCCTACTTTTTAATTCATTTTGAAATGAAATGTGCCAACGCTTTATCAAATACATTGGAAATCTTGCCGTGTATTAGTGACCCCATCCTATTTATTGGGGGCATTTCTTTATCCACGGGCCACAGAACAACGGCATATATACTGCTGCTGCAGGAGGTTACTGGGTCCGCGCTGAGTCTCTGCGCTGGTCTCTCCTATGGATCTATACGGGTCTGCACTGGTCTCTCCCATGGATCTAGACGGGTCTGCACTGGTCTCTCCATACGGGTCCGTGCTGCATGCTCCTGGATCCATACGGGTCCGCGCTGGTCTCTCAAGTCTGGTCTATGCGGTCTCTCTTCGGTCCGCGCTGGTCTCTGCGCACCGGTCTCTCCCGTCAGGTCACTACAGTCTATGCGGTCTCTCCTGTCCGCGCTGGTTTCTGTGTGCTGGTCACTCCAGTCTCTCCTCGGGTCTGCATTGGTCTCAGCGCTGGTCCGCGCTGGATCTCCTACCAGGGTCCAAAATATTTTGAGATTCATCTTTAAAATAATACATAATATATTTTTAAATTAAGCTCATAACATTTTGAGATTAATCTCATCATATTCTTAGATTAATCTCATAATTTTGCTAGTTCGACTTTATTCTCATAATATTTCAACTTTTAAGTCAACATTTTATAACTTTATACTCAGTCTGGCAAAAGAAGAAAAAAGGGTGACTCTTTTGCTCCGTGTAACTCTTTGCTTTAGGCCTGTTGCTGTTTCCTCTGGCGTCTGCACACGGCCCTGCAGTCCCTTTTATGGGCATTAATGGGCGGTTACTTATGCTAAGTACCTATGCTAATGAAGCACCTGGCACGCGCGCTCTACTTACGAGGAGTTGGCATTCATCAATCTGAGAGAACAGCTGCGAACAATTCAGTGGCTTACGAGTGCGTTGATGAATCCCACGTAGGGACTTCTTAGAAATCTACTTAAGGACAACTTGAGAAGAAATTTGAGAAGTTTCTTACGAAGTTATTCGTGAATGAGGCCCATTTATATTGAAACGGAAGGAGTATCAAACCACTGCAAATCTACCAAGACCCGGCCGTCCCTCCAAACTTTCATCTCAAACAAGGAGAAGGCTGATCAGAGATGCAACCAAGAGGCCCATGATCACTCTGGATGAACTGCAGATAACTACAGCTGAGGTGGGAGAGTCTGTCCATAGGACAACAATCAGTCGTGCACTGCACAAATCTGGCCTTTATGGAAGAGTGGCAAGAAGAAAGCCATTTCTCAAAGATATCCATAAAAAGTCTTGTTTAAAGTTTGCCACAAGCCACCTGGGAGACACACCAAACATGTGGAAGAAGGTGCTCTGGTCAGATGAAACCAAAATCGAACTTTTTGATCACAATGCAAAACGATATGTTTGGCGTAAAAGCAACACAGCTCATCACCCTGAACACACCATCCCCACTGTCAAACATGGTGGTGGCAGCATCATGCTTTGGGCCTGCTTTTCTTCAGCAGGGACAGGGAAGATGGCTAAAATTGATGGGAAGATGGATGGAGCCAAATACAGGACCATTCTGGAAGAAAACCTGTTGGAGTCTGAAAAAGACCTGGGACTGGGACGGAGATTTATCTTCCAACAGGACAATGATCCAAAACATAAAGCCAAATCTACAATGGAATGGTTCACAAATAGATGTATCCAGGTGTTAGAATGGCCAAGTCAAAGTCCAGACCTGAATCCAATAGAGAATCCGTGGAAAGAGCTGAAGACTGCTGTTCACAAACGCTCTCCATCCAACCTCACTGAGCTCGAGCCGTTTTGCAAGGAAGAATGGGCAAGAATTCCAGTCTCTCAATGTGGGTCTAAACAGTATTCTTGGCCGACTTCCATGCTGACCTGGGCGGGGCGTGAACCAGGCGTTCCCTGATTATTCACAGGCGTGACATTCAAAAATACGCTAGTTTTCACCGCGCCATTTATGAACTGCCACAGTTGCGTACCCTCAGATCTGGCCGGGTCTCACACGTTCATAAATCCCACGTTGAATCTTGCGCACTTTGGATCTACACCCAAAATGTACACCTTTAAAGTTTCATCAATGAGGGCCATTGAGAGTAGTCCTATCTATTCCCTTTCTTATCCGAAAAATCTGTTCTAGAGATGTGGCAGAGGCCAAAAACATATTCAATTGAAAACTAGTGATAGAACCAAAATGCTTTAGACCCAGGAACTAATGATATAGATTTTTACAGAGTTCTGTTTGTGGTTGGAAAGTTAGGTACCCGAGCTTTAATTCGGAAACTTCTGAAGGTTTGTACAGCAGGTGAATTATCTTTCACTTGAATCGCCCAGTTAGTTACAGAGTTAGGTTTTTACAAAGTTGAAAAGAGTGGAGTTCATAAAATGTAAATATCTTTTATGCTCATTTTTCTGCAAAGTATCAAACAAAGTTACAAGAAACAGACGGATTAAAGACGCATCGAAAGCGCACACGACCGCCACATACCTCCTTTAGCTCCACTCAGTGCTTCCACACGACGTCATGTTTGAATTCTACACACCCCGAAAGAACAGCTCCAAAGTCGGCTTAGAGTTCGCTGCTGGTCCCTCCCCGCTGGGTCCCGTCAGCGTGTGTTGCTTCAGCCTTTCCTCCATGTCCTCTGCCTTCCTCCTCCTGCTCTCAGCTGGTGCTCAGGGGCGAGTCGGCACAAGTCTCGCCCCAGGCCCCCGGCTCTCTCTGGCCTGGTACTTCACCGGTGCATTCCACGGATACCAGCGCGGGCGAGCTTGCACTTAACCCGCCAGTCTTGCGCGATGCACGGTATGTTATGAAGCTATTTTGTGCTGTTTTATAGAAATAATGCAAGGGGCTGGTACAGAGAGGACATTGCCCTGCTGTTAGTGTTAATACTTTATACAATGTGGGGATATAATGGATTATTAAATGACCTTTGTAACTGTAGGGCGCAGGGTTTGTTTACTATTGTGAAGGGAGACCACTGGGAACACCAGGTGCCACTGTCATTGTATCCAGACCATAGGCTGTAAATATTCAATCCAGACCAGTGTGTGCTTGAATGATTAGTGGTGATCTGAGGGGCTGATTGCACTGATGTGGTTGCCTCACTTCAGTCAGTGTGCCCCAGGGCAGCTGTAGTTACAGTGGTAGCAACCGTGTATGGAGTGAATGAATCAAATATAAAGTGAAGTTCAAATATAAAAAAATCGCTATAATAAACCAAAACATTCTTAATATTATTTCAGTCACTACTAGGCAAGTATAGAAAGAGGAACGAAATGCATGCATTTGTTTGATACCAAAATATTACAGAAAAGATACAGCATCAGCAACACATCTAGTCCGATACGGACATAAAGTGATCACGTGACTTGAGTTGAGTTTTGAGCGTGGGACACTCCCTGATCCCCAGAGGAAGACTCTTCCAGATTGTGCCTTGTGTATGAACTGTGGTATACAAGTGAACTTGCCTTGCATTGCCATTGTTACAATATGAATTAACCGCAGACCACTCAGGGACCACTCGACTATTCCTTACATGCTGATTAAAAATTATACATTTTTGGAAATACAGTCATCACTGGCCTTGATGTTTCTATTGCTCTCAAAGACCAAAAACTGCTTCTGCCTGTGAGTATCATGGGTACTCCTGTAGCCATACCTCAGTCTTTCTAAATCTTCTCAATTTAAGCCATTCTGTGGAGTTTTACTGCTGAAAAACAACTTCTTTAACAAACAGGAGACAAGTATGAGTCGGGTGTGTGGAGATGCAAGCTCACTCAGGCACTGACAGTCAGCACACAAATTAAAGAAATAAACAGGACCTAAAAACGACATATTATTAACAATAATGATGATTATTATAATAATAATAACACATCTTTATTCGTTGAGCAATTTTCAAGAACAATGTTTACACAGAGCTGTCTATAAAAAATAGTCATTATACTTTCGAATATCAAAAAGAACAAATAAGGCAACACAAGATTATAGAGAGAGAGAGAGAATTTGAAAAATGATACAAAATAAAGACAAGACAATGCACATACAAAGCATGAATAATGCTGCTCATAAGTCTTGATCAATTAAACAAAAAACAGAATTTGATGATTTGGGGGATTTCAGTGGTTCTCAAACTTTTCACACCAAGTTCCATGCTGTTAAAGCTGTGGTACCTAACTTTTAAAGCACCACAAATGGAATTCTTGCATGTTACTTGTTTCTGGCTTGTATGATTCTATCACTAGTTTTCACATTGTATGTATTTTAGATTGCTTATTCAGACTGAAAAGTAAAAAAGAGAAGACCACTCTTACTCAACCAGTCAGTTTTTACCAATGTGTCAATTAAAGACTCATTGGGCATGAGCATAAGATGTTTTCTAATAAGATAAAGACAGCATAGTAGTAGTAGTAGTAGTAGTAGTGATTTTTCCCAAATGCTGTAACGATTACTTTAACAATTGATTAATCTAGTGATTTAACTTCTGATGATCAATTTTTCAGTTTTTTAGAACACTATCTTTAAATAGTTTGAGTGATTGAAATGTTGTGTGTGTGAAGTAATAGCATTTCTTCAACACTGGCTCACCAACAAACGTGTGATAAGACTTTATGAGCCTGTAGTTAATTATAAACTACAGTGTGTACAGTGTTTGAAGAAAGTTATTCTCTGTTTCTCCTCTTCTACTGTTGTGCATGTTTGTGGTAGTACCTGCGTTTGTTCTGCTCCTCTCGGGGCTCCTTGTCCTCCGTCAGGGGCTGGAGCTGCGAGCAGGAGGCGGAGAGGAGGTGCTTTGTGTCCGCACGCTGATGGAGGTGGGGCAGCACACTCTGGCGAAACAGCTCCCTCCGTGGTTTCACCTGCAGGGAGAGGCCGGGATGCAGACCACAAACAGCTGTGGTGAGTGGTGAGTAGGTGTGTGTGTGTGTGTGTGTGTGCCTGTATGTGTCTGTCCTTTCTGTGTGGAGTTTGCATGTTCGCCCCGTGTCTGCGTTGGTTTCCTTCGGGTACTCCAGTTTCCCCCATATCTAAGAACATGTACACTAGGAATTAATGTAATGAGTGAGGGAATGTATGGTGTTGGTTGGGGAGTTTGCTGCGTCAGAGTGCTTGGCGTCTCTGTTCCGTCATCACTGTGTGTGGGGAGAATGGATAAGTATCTGAACCCTTAATAATAGACATTACTTACTTACTGTAAGGAACCCAGAGTGCTTTCGTTAAAAAAAAATAAACATCTAAAAGTGCAAACAGTAGCCCCATTCCGACTGCACAGAAACCACAAGAATGTAGATTTATCTTTGAATTCTTTTGAAAGTCGGTATTGATTCTTTTTAATTTAATACCCATCTTCCCCATGGTGAAATGCCTATCTTTCCTCTGAAAATAAAGTCTACTTAAAATTATTTGTTTCAATATTAATAGTGAAAGTCATGGCGTGGAACCGTTTAAGCAAAAATAATTCCAATGAAGAAAATTCTATGTTTTTATGTTCCAATGTATTGTAATTTTCCACCTCCAGAAAGTGTTACTAAGTGACTTGTAACCATCTAACTTTCAAATTGTGAAAAAGTTTTTGAGCCCCGCCTCATGAGAGAGTTGAATATTGAGGGTCAGATGTTGAGAGTGTTACTCACAATGCAAAATGACAGAGGAAAACAATTACAAACAAAAAAATACTTTCTTTTTTGCCTTCTGCCGTAATATACAGACTGACCAGGTCCATGGATGATCCAAGGGAATGCTTTCGGCTGACCTTTTTCTCCACACAGACTCCTGTACAACAATCAAGGTTATTAGGTTATTTATTTATATCATGTAGCAAGTTAGGACTTTACCTTCATTGTATCAGCGCATATTGTGTTATTAGCGTATTTCATATTCTATTTTCTTACAAAATATGGCAAGGCAAGGCAAGGCAAGTTTATTTGTATAGCACAATTCATACACAAGGCAACTCAAAGTGCTGAACAAGATAGCATTAAAATCATAAATAATCACAGAACATTAAAACAAAAGATAAAAATATAAAATCCCTCAGTTGTATGTACAGCTAAACAGAACTGTTTTTAACCTGGTTTTAAACATTGTCAGAGAGGAGGCCTGTCTCACATCTTCAGGAAGATTGTTCCAGATTTTAGCAGCATGATTCTGAAAAGCAGCCTCCCCATGTTTAGTTCTGACTCTGGGCACTAACAGGAGTCCAGTCCCTGTGCTCCTCAGAGTCCGGGCTGGTTCATGTGGGACTAACATGTTACTAATATATTTTGGTGCGAGGCCATGGAGAGACTTGTACACGAGCAGAGCTGTTTTAAAGTCTATTCTCTGAGCCACAGGAAGCCAGTGCAGAGACCTGAGGACTGGACTAATGTGGTCGTACTTCCTGGTTCTAGTCAGGACTCGAGCTGCTGCATTTTGAATGTACTGCAGCTGTTTTACAGCCTGTTTGGACAGACCTGTGAGCAGGCCATTGCAGTAGTCTAACCCAGTGGTTCCCAAAGTGGGGGTCCCGACCCCCCGGGGGGTCGCAAGATGATTTCCACACAAACAAAAAAAAGATATTTTTTTTTGGAGCAAATATAAAGCCCTTAAATATTTATTTAGCATTTGATTTGATTCAAAAGGACTACTTGTTAAATTGTGTTTGGAGACTATAATATATTTTAATAACGTTAGTAATTTTGTCCCAGTCATTGCAGCGTCAATCAAAATCATCACGTAACACAGCTCATATCATGCGCAGCGACAAAGCGTGTCCTGCTGTTGTTTGCTAAAACTAAAGGTGTTTGGAGGCTACAAATAAATAATACCTGCTTTAAAATGAAACGTGGTTAATATCCACAACAGAAAAACCCGGAGGGGGAGAAAAGTCACTTGTATCAGGGGTCAGGCTGATGGTGCGAAGAGAGGGAGAGAGGGCAAAGGAGGGAGAGAGGGCAGCGGAGGGAGGGAGGACAGCGGTAGAACAACGCGTTAAAGAGGCCCGGCCTTTCGGAGTCAAAGGTAAAGAGGTCCGCACATTAAAAGCGGGTGGCCGGTTTATGCCTTTACTGACAGTAACTTTGGAAAGAGAAGCCGCGGGGATGAACTGCATAAAGTAACAGCAGAAAGCGGCCGCCCGCTTTTAATGTGCGGACCTCTTTACTGCTGACTCCGGAAAACCGGCCCACTTTACCGTGGTAGGAGAACAGTGAGGGCGAGCCGCAAGAAATGCGCTACACTTCTGCTGAGGAGGGAGCCCACCAAGCCCATCGGGGGTCGCGGGTTAGCAGGGCAATTATGATGGGGGTCGCGGGCTAAAAACTTTGGGAACCCCTGGTCTAACCTACTGGAGACAAATGCATGGATAAGAATCTCCAAGTCTGCTTTAGACACTATGTTTATGATCCTGGCAATGTTTTTTAGATGGTAAAAAGCTGCTGATGTTACTGATTTGATGTGGCTATTAAAATTTAAGTCTGAGTCCAGTATTACCCCTGACCTAAACCAACTTAGGGCGATGCCAGCGACGCCAACCCAGTCCTCTAGTCTCTGTAAGAGGATCTCATGATCGACAGTGTCAAAGGCAGCACTCAGATCTAACAGGATTAGGATTGAGACTTTGCCTGCGTCAGTGTTCAGCCGGATATCATTTGTAACCTTGACGAGAGCAGTCTCAGTGCTGTGGTGGGGTCTAAAGCCAGACTGAAACATATCAAATGAGTTGTTGATTATAAGAAATCTAGTAAGCTGTAGGTAGACAACTTTTTCAAGGACTTTCCCCATAAATGGCAGATTTGAGATGGGACGATAGTTGTTAAGTACCGTAGCATCCAGACTGCTCTTTTTTAGCAGGGGCCTGATGACTGCAGTTTTCAGGGCCTTTGGGAATATTCCAGAATTAAGGGACATGTTGTGAGTGAAGGTAACAGACTGCTCAGAACAGACTTCAGAAATCTAGTGGGTAGTACATCCAGGCTGCATGTGGAGGAGCTCAAACTGGAGATTATCTCTTGGACAGTTTGATCATCTACAGGTGCAAAGTAAGTTAGCTCAAAGAGCCTTTCTGGCTGTTGGATTGTTATCTGTGGATTGGAGACAATGGCGTTTTTGATGCCTTGAACCTTGTCATTGAAAAAATGTGCAAACTCATTACATTTACGTTTGGAAGTTAGCTCTAATGGCATTTGAACAGGGGGGTTTGTTAATCTATTAACTGTTGAGAACAGAACACGCAGATTGTTGCTTGCAGCCTTCAATCATTTCAGAAAAATACCTTTCTCTCGTACTACGTAGCACCTGGTTAAACTCGCACAACTTATCTGAAACACACCCAGCCTAGGACGCAGGCGTATGAACTAAAAATACCAGATCCAAATATTGCATGCTGTCCAGAACATGTAAACTTTCTTTAAGAAGTGGATAAACCTGAAATATTGCTAGTACCATCAAAACTGATATTCTGTATCAATGTTATCATCACAATTATTTTAAATTGATATTTTCTGTTCAGCATTATATTCAACTTTATTTCAACATAGGAATATAGCCTGATATTATTTTTTTTAAGTAAGTAAGTGAGTAATCTTTATTTATATATCGCCTTTCACAGACCAGAGTCACAAAGCGGTTTACTATTGTTATATTATTTTAGGCTATGTAATGAAGACTTACAATAACTAAACTTAATGACAGAAATTATGAGTCTCGAAGCAATCACCTACACCCAATTATTATTAAATAAAGATATATTTAATTTCTATTGTAAATAAATAAATATTTTTGTAGTTTTTAGTTTTTTCAAACCAGGCTGAAACTACAAGTGTAAAGTGAAAAGTAAAAACTATTTGAAGATAAAGAACATGGTGGTGTCAGAGTCAAAAGTGAGACCTGAGCCTGGATCTGAGTCTGGATCTGAAACCTAAGTCTGGACCTTAGCCTGGACCTGAGTTCTGAGTCTGGACCTGAATCCTGAGTCTGGAAATGAGCCCGTAACAGAGACCTGTGCCTAGATATAAGAGAGACCTGAGTCTGGACCTGAGTGTGGCTCCAGTCTGAGCCGGTGTCTCTTCAGCTGCTGGATGATGGTCTGTCTGTGAGCCTCCTCCTCTACTCCTGCAGCTCTCAGCTCCTCGTTCGTCACGTTTATTAAGCCCTGTGAAGACCGGGAGACATGAAGCTTCTGCTGACACGGCTGGATGGACACAAGATAACAGCAAAAACCCATAGTGTCACCCCCAGCCCATAGTCACTCACCTCCGGGCCATGGTCACTCACCTCCAGGCCATTGTCCCTCACCCCCAGCCCAAAGTCCCTCACCTCCAGGTCATAGACACTCACCTCCAGGTCATACTCACATCCAAGCCATGGTCACTCACCTCCAGGCCATAGTCCCTCACCTCCAGGTCATAGACACTCACCTCCAGCCCATAGTCTCTTACCTCCAGGCCGTAGATTCAAGAATTTGTTTGCCATTTGCAGTATAACCTCATTGGAAAAACTGTGCAGGACTACTCCAGTGTGCACCAGATAGTACACACCAGAGCTCTGGCTTTTTCCAGCCATGTGAAAGTCACTCATAGACACCCCCAGCCCATAGTCTCTCACCTCCAGCACATAGTCACTCACCTCCAGCCCATAGTACTCCCCCTCAAGGCACCTGATGTACTGTGGGAGCTCTATCTGCCGAAGCCACCACGCAATAGAGCGGTTACTCATGTCTACGAAGCAAAACAATCAATGACACAATTAGTATGTGAATGCTTACTCATTGTAAATGTTTACTAAATTTCACAACAAGAAATACATAGTTAAACCAACCGTTACCCACAGCTGAACAGAAGGCAAGGCAAGGCAAGTTTATTTGTATAGCTCCATTCATACACAAGACAACTCAAAGTGCTGAACAGAATAAAATAGAAACAATCACACAAGGCATTACAGTCATAAATAATCACATAAAAAAATAGTAAATACAAAATCCCTCAGTTGTATGTACAGCTAAACAGATCTGTTTTTAACCTGGATTTTAACACTTTTAAGATTTGAAAGATTTGAAAGATTTTTATTTGTCAAACCAAGTGAATGGTTTGAAATTATATTTCTCTCATCCTTGATTGTGGAGCGGGGGGTGGGGGAAGAGGGGTGGGAGGGAGGGCAGGGTGTTCAGCTTCCTGATGGCCTTGTGAATGAAACTGTTTTTAAGTCGACTGGAACTGTTCCGTAAATTCTGCAGTCTCCTCCCTGAAGGCATTACCCTGAAGAAGAAACTTGTCTCACATCTTCAGTAAGACAGTTCCAGATTTTAGCTCCATGAATCTGTAATGCGGCCTCCTCATGTTTAGTTCTGACTCTGGGCTCTAGCAGGAGTCCCATCCCAGTCTTCGTCAGAGTCTGGGTTGGTTCATATGGGACTTGTACACACGCAAAGCTGATTTAAAGTCTATTCTCTGAGCCACAGGAAGCCAGTGCAGAGACCTGAGGACTGGTTTAATGTCATCATACTTCCTGGTTCTAGACAGGACTCAAGCTGCAGCGTTTTGAATGTACTGCAGCTGTTTTACTGGTCGTTTGGAGAGACCTGTGAGCAGGTCATTACAGCGGCACGGTGGCTGAGTGGATAGCACTCTCGCCTCTCAGCAAGAAGGTCCTGGGTTCGAATCCCGGTCGGACCAGGGCCTTTCTGAGTGGAGTTTGCATGTTCTCCCCGTGTCTGCGTAGGTTTCCTCCGGGTACTCCGGTTTCCCCTACCACTAAAAATATGTCCAATAGTTCTGGCATGCGCTTCCTGTACTGGCGACCCCGCTCCCATCTCTGTGTGGAGTGAGATACAAATGCCCAAAATTAACAATTGTAAACCGCTTTGAGACTCAGATCTGCAGTGAAAAGGCGGTATATAAATAAAAACTTACTTACTTACTTACTTACATTAAGGCTTGTGTATTCTTGCGCGGCGCTGGTTACGTTTGCGGTTGCGCTGGACCTACAGTCCATTCGGCCCCCTTGATCCTTTTAACATTTCGCCACATTTCAGGCTTCAAACATAAAGATATAAAATTAAATTTTTTTGTCATGAATCAACAACAAGTGGGACACAATCGTGAAGTGGAACGAAATTTATTGCATAATTTAAACTTTTTTAACAAATAAAAAACTGAAAAGTGGGGCCCCTTTACTTTCAGTGTGATCATGGGCCTCTTGGCTGCATCTCTGATCAGTCTTCTCCTTGTTTGAGATGAAAGTTTGGAGGGACGGCCGGGTCTTGGTAGATTTGCAGTGGTCTGATACTCCTTCCATTTCAATATAATTGCTTGCACAGTGCTCCTTGAGATGTTTAAAGCTTGGGAAATCTTTTTGTATCCAAATCCGGCTTTAAACTTCTCCACAACAGTATCTCGGACCTGCCTGGTGTGTTCCTTTGTCTTCATGGTTCTCTATGCGCTTTAAACAGAACCCTGAGACTATCAAAGAGCAGGTGCATTTATACAGAGACTTGATTACACACAGGTGCATTCTATTTATCATCATCAGTCATTTAGGACAACATTGGATCATTCAAAGATCCTCACTGAACTTCTGGAGTGAGTTTGCTGCACTGAAAGTAAAGGGGCCGAATAATATTGCACGCCCCACTTTTCAGTTTTTTATTTGTTAAAAAAGTTTAAATTATCAATCATATATAATCATCCAATAAATTTCGTTCCACTTCATGATTGTGTCCCACTTGTTGTTGATTCATGACAAAAAATTAAAATTTTATATTTTTATGTTTGAAGCCTGAAATGTGGCGAAATGTTGAAAGGTTCAAGGGGGCCGAATACTTTCGCAAGGCACTGTACGTAGCCACAGTTGCTGGTACACTCGAGCGCACCCCCCTGCGTAGTTTTGAAGAGACTGCTGTAATCCCACAACCAACCACGTGATGGCCAATCTCACAGGAGTTGCCTGAGAAACCAAAGCGGTCCCATTTACGCTGCTTCTTTCTCCTCTTCAGAATAAAAACAATAGCGAAGCAAGCTGTTTGAGCTCATTACATATGTTTCTACTGTAGGTTTATGTGACAGTTCTAAACTCATCGTTTCAACTCATTTAACTGTGATGTTGTGAATAAAGACACAGTCCTTGTTGGAAACATAGTTATTATTAAACTGTATTCAGCACAAACGGCAAAACAATTAGTGGTGAATGATTCACTTCCATCAAATTCAATGAATAAAGCTGTAAACTGCTATAAACCAGTTCTGACCCAGGACAGGACTGAGTTTGTTGGACACAAAGATGTGGAACATACCAGTTAAGTGCAGTTTGTGTGCCAAAAAAAAGTAAGTTAAAAGTAATGCAGATGTAGTGTAATGTGTTACAATTGAGAGACGTAACATTAGAGTGTAATACATTACTTTGAAATAACAGTAACAAGTAATGCATAATGTATTACATTTTTTAAGTATCTTGCCCAACACTGCATTTATGTAACACTAAAACCTAAGACTATCAATTTAAAGAGACATTTTTGATTCTGTCAGAAATTTTAACATACAATTTTGGTTAGTCATTGAGATTTATAAAAACAGCAATGAATCAGGATGAAATAGAACTGTATAGAATGAAGACTGTTCTAAATCAAAGGCTTTCTGATGACGCTCACATTCCTAAGATAGTTTCCTATGGAATTTGTCATGTTGCGTCCTCTGTGAGTATGTGACACCTACCTATGCAGGCTAGTCCTCTTCCTTCTACAGATGTCACCCTAAAGTTCCCAATAATCCCTTTATCAGCTGCCTGGAATATCCGATAACTCACTTTCTCTTTGCGGTTTCCCCCTCAAACCTGCAGGGTCACTCCACAAGCCAATCAGATTCCCCACCTCTGTTTGTCCAATCACTGCTCCGGGATCAGGGCAAGTTACAAGGAGGAGGGAAGAAGGTGGCGGGTCTGGGCATGCTGCACCATCAGCAGAGTGCAAAACAACAGTGAGGACTCCAAAGGATGGGCTGTCACCAAACGTAGCATCGAGCTATGGATGCTGTGATAAATGTGTGTGTGTGTACAATGCATTCATGCACACTCCCCAACATGGCGTGTGTGAGTGCTTTAACACTTTGACACTAGGAAAAAAACCAAAAGTAAGGCGCTTTGCAAGCGCAGTGCCTGGTTTTGTTGAAATAATTTGTGTTGAGGAGGTAGGAGGGGGCCATACCATTTATAGCCTTTATCAATTTAATCAATTTAAATTTGATTTTAAACTCAACGGGAAGCCAATGGAGTGATTTTAACTCTGGAGTTATGTGTTCCCTCTATATAACTGTCTGTTATGGGGTTTTACATCCAAAGTTTTTGAAGATGTGCGTCGGTGTGAATATCTGCGTGTACGTTGCGGCACGCAAGTTTATTTGGTGCAGCAGATGCGTTTTTGCAGCCCGTCTCGGCCGGTGGGTACAGCTACTTGCTGCATACAGCGAATACAGCAGATGAACAGCGCTCAACTTTTGGGACGCTGCCAGCAGGGCGTCAAGCCTTGCGGTGAGAATTGCATGTAGATCAGTTTTTTCTGTTTACTCTTTTATGAAGGATATTCCTAATTTTGTCACGTGTCATCACGTGTTCAGAGTGAACAGAAATAGCTTTGTGTAACCTTGGTGTGTGAAATCCGCTATAAAAATACAGATTACTTGCATACTGGGAAGAAGGATAGGTGCCTGTGCCTCTGGGTGCAGGTGTGAAACTCACCATCCCTCTCCTGTGGGTCAACTGCCATCTTAGTTTTTATTGTCAACCATTCAATCACATTTAGGATATTGATTGGAAGTGGAAATTATTGCTTACCCTGAATCTCTACACAATATGTGGCAAAACTAGAGTACAGTAAATGCATGCAAAATATATTTTGCATGCATGCAAAATGCATGCAAAATATCCCCTCTGTGGGACAAATGAAGAATCAGAATCAATTTTTTTGCCATTTGCAGAAAAAAACTACATTGGAATACAAACAGGAGACACCGGGGGCACCAACACGACAAAGCACGCACACAAACAGCATAAAAATAGCGAGACACAGTGAGGCAAATATAAAACTCTTAAAAGCATTATTAAGACGCTACGAAGGAGCTACAAGAGAAGCAGATCTCAGGGCGCTCTGTTCAGTCTTATAACCGCCTGAGGGAAGAAGCTTTTCGCATGGCAGGTGGTCCTGCACCGCAGGGACCGGAATCTTCTCCCCGATGGAAGAGGCTGGAACAAGGCCGCTCCAGGATGGCCAGAGGAGTAATTTATGATCCTCAAGGCTCGGTTTAAGAGTCTGCTCTCATAAAGAGCCTTCAGAACGGGCATCTCACGGTGTACAGTCCTCTGAGCAGAACGAACCACTTTGTTCAGAGCTCTCTTTTCTTTGGCAGTGATGCTGCCGAACCACACGGTGATCGCACCAGCAAGCAGGCTTTCTATGGTGCAGCGGTAAAAGTTCAGTAAGATCTTAGAGTTATTTGTAAATTCTCTAAGTTTCCGCAGAAAGTATAGACGTTGGCGAGCTTTCTTAACAGTGTTGGTGTTTTTTTTTGGAAGGTTTTCCTAATTACTAAAATTAATGAAGTTGTCGGTTGGGGCTTTCAGCACAATTAACAGTCAACAGTTATGTGTTTCTCAACGCATTCAGTGATTTCATTGTTTATTGACATTATTATTCTTTTACTTCAAATATTAAATTCACTTCAAAGTTATTTCTTTAAGGTTGTCCCCAAAGACAGAATTGTCTTCTGCGAAGGGCAATGGCTATATGTCTTTTGGAGACAAATCTAGGTCAGTTATAAACAAGAAAAAGAGAACTGGGCCGAGCACTGACCGTTAGGGGACACTGCACATGATTTATCTCAGTGAAGAATCGGTCTAGCTCATGTGAATGAATTTCTTTTTCCATGTCCAAGAAAGCTAAAATCCAGTCCAACAAATACCATAAAGTAGCAATATGTAAGATTTTCATGTCAAGTCATCATTCAATGGCCCTAATATGTCAAAAGGTATTAATACACCATGCTCTTTTTCCTTTACTTCTGAACAGTTGTTCAGCCGAGATAATTGAATTTCAAAATTCGTTTTACAGCCTCTAAATCTTGTTTTTGTTTTCATTTCAATGTCCCGCCCTCCACCATTTTACCAATCAGAAAAGTCTGTGATCCGGGTTGCCAGAACACAGCAACTCACAGCATCAGAACTCACAGCATCAAACTAATCTCATTGGTAAAGTAACATGTAACACTTTATGACATTTGCATATGTAAATGAAAAAGAAACAACATCCTTCTGTCAACAACTTGCATGCGAAAGCCAGATCCCATCAGACCCCTGAAGCTGTGCAGCTGTAAAGTGCCAAACTGTCATTGTGTACTTAGGCAAGACACTTCACCCACATTGCCTAGAATGAGTCTGGTGTGTGTGTGTGAATGGTTGGTGGTGGTCGGAGGGGCCGATGGCACACATACTGATTGCCTCGCTTCTGTGCCTCAGGGCAGCTGTGGCTACAGTAGTAGTTTATCACCACTGTGTATGGAGTGAATGAATAATACCATGAGAAGTGTCTTTGAGTGTCCTGAAAAGTGCTATATAAAACCAATGTATTATCATTATTATAACATCAAACTGTAATGGCCAGTGGCAACATAGGGGAGAGAGGGACCTCTAGTGGAAATATGTTACAGTCAAGAGCAGAGAGCAAAAGTAAAGTGGTTTTAAAAGTTTTTACAGCTGCTTTTTTGAGGCACAACAACAATTTCATTATTCAAAATGTGAAATCATATCATCAGTAGAATATAATGGTGAAAGAATATGAAGTGAATTTATTTATTTAATTTTCCAAATTTTAAAATGGCCAGAATACATCTGATTGTAAAGACTTTAAATTCACCTAAGAAATTGCCAAGACTAAATTAGGTGCAATACTTGTGGTGTCATAGTGGTTCAATGACATCATAGGATTATGGGACTAATATTAGTGTAAAAACCAACTACAGGTCTATGAGGTAGATTGTAACATTGTTAATAGGTCAAAAAGTATGTTTTCTTTTGTAATATGCCTTTAAAGTAATGTCCTAAATGAATGACTCGAGACTCTTACTCTCTGTGTGTGTGTCACTCATGGCCTCAGCTGCAGCAGTGTGTGTGGCTGAGCCCGGGTGCTACGCAGAAAAAGGAAGTTGCGGGATGAAGTTGAAAAAGCCGTCAACACAGTGCAGCGCTGCAGACACCCACCACGGAAGACAGCGAGAGAGAAAATCCACTATGCGAGACAAGAGAAGAGCCAGCGCGCCCAAATACTATTGCTGACGGTATTTTCAGCTTCTACTTATCTTCTAATTTGAACAGAGTTTTGTATTTCAATGTTTTAAGTAGAGCAAATGTGTTCACAGTATTTCTTGGTTATAAGTTTTGTCCAAGTCTACATAACGCAAAGCCCTCTCTCCTGTGTATATCTGTTCACACGTTCTGTAGATAAGATAAAAGAACCTTTATTTGTCCCACAATAGGTAAATGTCGTTGTTACAGTGCACATACAGGACAGTAGGAAAGAACGAGCACACAAAGAGCACACAACAAATATCTAGATAAGTAGCTGTAAATTTCTCTCACAATTGGCATTACATAGGCTAAAACATAGGCATGTATTATCATTATTATTATTATTATTATTATTATTATTATTATTTTATTAGTGTGATGCCTGTTGGAAGTAAGGTATAATATAGTAATTGATTTAAGCCGAGTTTTCAATGATGGACAAACTGCATAATGTAAAAAAGTGTATAATGTTTTAGGCCTGTACAGAGAGATAGAAAGACTCATAAAAATATAATTATTTTTTTGAAAAAGAAAGGTATTCAAAATAGTACAAAGGCAAAAGTTTGGAGTAAAGGTAGTTCGTGGCAATATATTGATTCAGCGACGTAACATATCTTGTTTAGCACGGCAACAGCTCCTCCTCCCCACCACAGCCAAGTGTGACAAGTAGCGGACGTTTATCTTGAATTTATGGATAGATAGATTTGGTAGATTGTCGTCTGATAAACTCATATACATGCAATGCACACACTGTGTCTGGTTTCCAGTCCTATTTGTGAATGTTGCATGCAAAAAGCAGATCCCGTCAGACCACTGAAGCTGTGCAGGGCAGTATACTGCTTAGTGCTGTGATGAGAGACCTCTGGGAACACCAGGTGCGACAGTGGGGCGGCTATGGCTGATAGGTGTCAAATTGTTGTTGTGTCCTTAGGCAAGACACTTCAACCACATTGCCTATAATGAGTCTGGGGTGTGTGTGAATGGTTGGCGTTGATCAGAGGGGCCGATGGCACAGACTGGTTGCCTTGCAACCAGATGTCCCTAAATTCCTTAAATGTCCTGGATCATCACCACTGTCCTCATAGGCTCCTGAAGTGTATTTTGGCCTTTGTCACATCCTCACTCAACTTATCAGCTTTCATTGCAAATGCAGAGAATGAATTTCCCCACAAAGTAATTAATTATAATAATGCATCAATTTTGTATTACTCATTCTTGGTGATGCCTCCTCAACCACCATACATCAGACCAGGGGCGGTTTAGGACCTTCAGCTTCAGGAGTGCTTATACCTTTGGAGGAGGGGAGGAGGGTTCGTTTAAAATATGTAAATATTAGACACAATTATGATTTCCATCGCTCCCTCATGTTGGACCAACATCTGTAGAATATTTTTTTGTTAGTTAGCATGTTACCTGCTGCCATCCCTCCCTCTGCCCGTGATCATTAATGGTCATCATTCTCCTTCCCTTTTACGGATGTTTACCAAAATATAATATGTAGGAAGTACACTATAAAATAAAAGATGAATGCAGCACCTATTAACTTCTGGAAAGTCAGATCTCCAACAAATGAATTCTGGCACATTATGTTCAGCATTACTGGGATCAAACTTTGTTTGAGAAAAACACTCTAATATCAACGTTTTTGTTTGCAATCTTCTATACTTATATACTCTAATTGAGTAAGGGTAAGAGAAGATATATTAACAGAGCAAACAATGATTGTTTTGAATGTTTAGAAGCAGGCGAGGCCTTTTATAGAAGAGAAAACCTGACAGTGTGAGTGCAGCAAGAGAAGTAAGTGAGTGACCTCAACAACTTTTTTTCAAGCGGATCTTACAATGGACTTTTTGCACCTGCCATGCACCAACTATGAAGCGTGCGCTCACACACATAATCTTTGTTACTGTATAGCACCTTTCGCAGACATTCACAAAGCCCGCACACACTGTCCAGGGTGTTTTGGCATACAAGCCTGTGGTAAATTTCTACTTTTATGCTGACTGTGCTCTACAAATGTAAGTATATTTTTTGAAGCACGTTAAAGGCTTAGTTTACATAGCAGACAGATAAGAACAGATTTTTGCATCCTTGGGTCCAACTAATGGTTGTCCTCATTTTCCATATTTACTCAAGTCAATTCAACATAAAATTATCATGAAAAACCTCGAAATGTGTACTAGTTAGTCTTTATTTACTTAGCTGAAGTTTGTAATGATTAAATAATTTAGTTGTGGTCAAATTACATTCTTTGGTGAGCGCCCACAGTGCACTTCCGGAACAACTCTCCCATTTATTTACAGTGCCTTGCGAAAGTATTCGGCCCCCTTGAACCTTTCAACATTTCGCCACATTTCAGGCTTCAAACATAAAGATATAAAAAAGATTATTTTTTGTCAAGAATCAACAACAAGTGGGACACAATCGTGAAGTGGAACAAAATTTATTGAATGATTTAAACTTTTTTAACAAATAAAAAACTGAAAAGTGGGGCGTGCAATATTATTCAGTTTTGCACATCGAGAGACTGGAATTCCTGCCCATTCTTCCTTGCAAAACAGCTCGAGCACAGTGAGGTTGGATGGAGAGCGTTTGTGAACAGCAGTCTTCAGCTCTTTCCACAGATTCTCGATTGGATTCAGGTCTGGACTTTGACTTGGCCATTCTAACACCTGGATACGTCTATTTGTGAACCATTCCATTGTAGATTTGGCTTTATGTTTTGGATCATTGTCCTGTTGGTAGATAAATCTCCGTCCCAGTCTCAGGTCTTTTGCAGACTCCAACAGGTTTTCTTCCAGAATGGTCCTGTATTTGGCTCCATCCATCTTCCCATCAATTTTAGCAATCTTCCCTGTCCCTGCTGAAGAAAAGCAGGCCCAAACCATGATGCTGCCACCACCATGTTTGACAGTGGGGATGGTGTGTTCAGGGTGATGAGCTGTGTTGCTTTTACTCCAAACATATCGTTTTGCATTGTGGCCAAAAAGTTCGATTTTGGTTTCATCTGACCAGAGCACCTTCTTCCACGTGTGTCTCCCAGGTGGCTTGTGGCAAACTTTAAACGAGACTTTTTATGGATATCTTTGAGAAATGGCTTTCTTCTTGCCACTCTTCCATAAACAGTGTCCTATGGACAGACTCTCCCACCTCAGCTGTAGTTATCTGCAGTTCATCCAGAGTGATCATGGGCCTCTTGGCTGCATCTCTGATCAGTCTTCTCCTTGTTTGAGATGAAAGTTTGGAGGGACGGCCAGGTCTTGGTAGATTTGCAGTGGTCTGATACTCCTTCCATTTCAATATAATTGCTTGCACAGTGCTCCTTGAGATGTTTAAAGCTTGGGAAATCTTTTTGTATCCAAATCCGGCTTTAAACTTCTCCACAACAGTATCTCGGACCTGCCTGGTGTGTTCCTTTGTCTTCATGGTTCTCTCTGCGCTTTAAACAGAACCCTGAGACTATCAAAGAGCAGGTGCATTTATACGGAGACTTGATTACACACAGGTGCATTCTATTTATCATCATCAGTCATTTAGGACAACATTGGATCATTCAAAGATCCTCACTGAACTTCTGGAGTGAGTTTGCTGCACTGAAAGTAAAGGGGTCGAATAATATTGCACGCCCCACTTTTCAGTTTTTTATTTGTTAAAAAAGTTTAAATTATCCAATAAATTTCGTTCCACTTCACGATTGTGTCACACTTGTTGTTGATTCATGACAAAAAAGTAAAATTTTATATCTTTATGTTTGAGGCCTGAAATGTGGCGAAATGTTGAAAGGTTCAAGGGGGGTGAATACTTTTGCAAGACACTGTATATGTTAGTTGTATATTTCCTCATGCTTGGCAATTTAATCTGATGTTGTGGTTGTAATAGTATGCACTGGCGCTTTTTATTTTATTTCACCATTTCACGGTTAATCATACACTTTATTTTCCCACAGATAAGGTTATGGTATTTAAAGTGAGGGGTACCTAATTTTCCAAGCAAATATTCTCAAACTCACTTCTATAACTAGTTTTCACATTCATGTAATCTTGGTCTCTGTCACGATTTCATATCGGCTCTCAAAGAGTGACTCACAGAGCTCTTTCTTACAAACATGCAATAGATATTGAATAACTGATTTCTAATAAGATTAAGACCATATGTTGTGGTCTGATTTGTTCATAACAATTTGCTTTTACGAGACTTTCTGTTGGGACAAATAACATGAATTATCTATGATTAAAAAATTAAGTCCCCATCTTCAACATTTTTCAAAAAAAACCAAAATGAATTGGTGTTAGTCCAGTCTTTTCTTACAAAAATAATATATATAACCCACCAAGATTATTTTACGTATTTGAGAAGCATTTGGCCATTTTCAACACATTTTTTTTACATATTTCACACAATATGTCTACTTCACAAAAGACAAAATATTACTCTGCATCTTAAAAGAGATACATGTCAATAAATATTTAGTTGAGCAGTATGGGTGTCCACAGAGCTGTCAGGTGTTGCGTGACATGCTGCTTCTGTAAAATGAGTGGAACCAGGAGGTGTGTGTGTGTGTGTGTGTGTATATATAAAAATTGTGTAACCAGCTTTACAGCTGTGTGTGTGTGTTTGCAGAGAGCACAGATGGAGCTGTGGCGTCAGTGTGCTTCGTGGCTCATCCACTGCAGAGTTCTACCAGAAAACCACCGGGTCACATGGGAGGGCGCACAGGTAACCACTGGGTCATGTGGGCGGGTGCACAGGTAATCCTCTCCTCACCCAGCCGAGGGAAGCACGGTCATGGTAAACATGGTCGTGTCCGCTCTATCCCAGATCTGCGCCTCTGGCGGCTTCCAAAAGTTTGCACTGGAGACTGGAAAAGCACCAAACATCTGCTTTGATAACAGCGCGTTGAGGGCGCAGACCAGTGTGGCTTTTACATGTGACAAATGCACTGAGAACCTGCAGTGCAAGAAACAGACATAGATTATGGGTCCCTCAGGAAGATTCAAGGAGGCCTAGCAGAAAACAACTGAGAAGCACTGCACTCAACCATCAGTACGCATTGACTTGTCATTCTGGAAACAACAATCATAATATACCGACAATTGGGTAACAAAAACAAAACATTTGAGAGCTTCAATAATGATCTTGTCTTTTGCATTATCTTTGATCACATAAGAACATTTTATTTCTTTTTCTATACTACAATGAGAATCAAGCTGTAGTCCAGTTTATTGCTTAACATGTTCATTCACTTTTAATTATATCTGACCTCAATGTTTGAAACAAAATGATTTATAAAGATTGTTGGTTTACCAAAATATGTGATCAAAATATGCACTTAGTCTTTTTTTGTCAATTTAAATTCCTGTGTGTGTGGAGGTGTGTGATCTGGCCCAGGCACTCAGGGATGGGGTCCTCCTGTGTCAGCTGCTCAACAATCTTCTGCCCCACGCCGTCAACCTGCGGGAGATTAACCTGCGGCCGCAAATGTCCCAGGTACCAATCACATCCGAGTACATGAGTTACAGTGAACATCCAGTCAATGTATCCTGGATCATCCCTTAGACCCTGGTCCTGGTTCCCCCTGGATCCTGAACTTGAGTAAGTGTTTGTGGATAGGTAGTCTGGGTGTCTCTGCTTAGACAGCAATGGATAAAGCGAAAGAAAATGGATGGATGTCTCCTCCAGTGAGGAGCATGTGCCGCTGTTGGAGAGGTGCAGTGTCATGAACCGTCTGTATCAAACACACATAACAAGTTCCTTCTGGTATTACTCTAATTCTTAATAGAATATTTTTTTATAAAACTATATTTCTCTTAGTCAGTGCTCACATACACATAGAGTTGAAGTTTCCCCTTTCTCAAATTGTACTTCCTGTTTTCCCACTGCTGTGACACAGCTCTGATTATGGAAGGAAGTGACAAGACTGCTTGTAATCTACTGTGCAGGTTTCACATGACCAACATTCATTTCATCTCATGACATCACAATCATAAAGATTTTAATGCAAAGCTTCACCACAAAACTTAATCCATTCTGATTTGGGTTACAAAGCATGCACATTCTTCCTCTTTCTGTCCAAAAGGATCTGTGTTTGATTTGATAAATGTAAGAATACACCGATATGAAAATTTTGGTCGATTTTGATATCCGATAAACATTTTTCTGTCATGGTCGATATGTGTTTTTTATTCTGCGTGGGACAGTGAGCGGTGAAGGAGGTTGATGATGGCGTCCTCCACTCCGATTTCCAGGCGGTACACAAACTGCAGCGGGTCCATTGCTGGGCTCAGAGTGGAGTGTAGATGTCCCAGAACCTCTCTCCAGTGTCTTCATGCAGTGGGATGATAGATAGAATTCACCAACATCATTCTGCATTTAACAGTAGCTGCAAAAATGGAAACTGAAATTAGAGCTTTGCGTGGTTTTCTTTAGACGAACGAAGGAGTAGAATTTTCCTCCGTGTAGCGCTCCTAGCTAGTAGTGTACCAGCCACCATTATTGTGTATGTTTTTTCTTTTTCTTCACGTGGGTGTGAAAGAGCCCCCCGCTGAGCAGCGTATCTGAGCTGTCCTACTTTGTAGGCTGGTTCTTAACGCTTACGTTTTTACCCACCTGGAACACAGTGTCTAGTAAACGGGAGGTGGCACCCGACACCCAACTATCCAGTTTTACTGCCGCAGCGTCTCAGTCCAAACACGGCCTGAAAGACCTGAGAGTACATGATCAGTCTGATAGATCTGATATGGTCAGTCTGATAGATCTTAGAGTACATGGTCAGTCTGACAGGTCTTAGAGAACACAATCAGTTTGATAGATCTGAGAAGACATGATCAGTCTGATAGGTCTGAGAGAACATGGTCAGTCTGACAGACTGTTTCATCTCCTTGGTCTTCTGTTGATCAGGGGGTGTTTCATCTCCTTGGATCTCTCAAGATGTGTCAGGTCTGAGGGTAGTCCAGTACCCACTCTGGACTACCTTATTTATATGGTGCTAGAGTGCTTTACAATTGTTGTGGGCATTCTTTCCTTTCACTCTACACAAAGATGGGTGCAGGGTTGCTGTACAAGACTTGCACCTACTTTACATGTTTTTTAGTGGTAAGGGAAACTGGAACACCTGGAAACCTGCGTAGGAAACTTACGCAGACATAGGGAGAATATGCAAACTCCCCACAGCAAAGTTCTGTCCTGGAGATGGAATCAAACCCAGAACCCTTGTGCTGTGGAGCACAAGTTCTAACCTGCAGTGCATGTGTAATAATTACATTGAAATGCGGGTACATTTGCTTTTAACTGTTGTGTGCCTGAGGATCCCCAGGGGTCTCAGGCCCCACTTTGGGAAGCACTGATCTACATTAATACACTGTTATGACCAAAGTTATATGTTACTGCATACATATTCACTAAACCAAGAACCAAAGAAGCATAAACCAAGAACCAAAATTGTTACATATTTTTTGTTCGAGAAGAGCGCTTCTGCAGTGCGAGATGTCTATTTGTCTCATATGTTAATTTTCCTTTATGAAATCACTCATTTGGTTAATTGATTTTGTGGTTGTACCCTGTTTTGGGCCTTAATATTACTGGCTTTTTTGCTAATTCACTTGATATAATAAGCAGTATATAAGCCAAGTCTAAACCTTTTATGTTTGAAGGTGTAATAAATCTACCCAATCTCATAGGGAAGAGAAATGCGGTCAGCTTTCTTCTATTTTAGATTTAGAGCAGAACTTTGGTCATAGAATCTGATATCATCTAGATAAAAAAGTGATCTTGGTCTTATATTGAAACTTATAAATCTGGACAGTTTTGAGGTATGATATGAACAATGAAATGCCTAAAAATGATCACATGGGATGTTAATTTGTCAGGTGGAAATTTTGTGTGTGTTTTTTTAACATTTGGGGTCGTTTTTTAAATTCATATGTAGCAAAATACAAATGAGTTTTTCTTAGTTTCCCCCATGTGTCAGGAGCCATCAAGCAAAATGTTAGGTGGATAAGACATTGTTTGTGGTTTCAGCACCTTCAGATTTAATTTTGCAAAAGGCGGATCGCCATTAACAGGTTTTTTAACCCTTGAAACCAAATGGGGGTTGGGAGTGGGCCCTATCAACTCATTATGGCCCAATGTATAAGACAACTTACAAAAATAGTTTCAAAAACAAAGCAGGGGGAGTCTGGCTCCCAGCCAAATTGAACTGTCCAATGTGGACCCGTCTGAACCTGAACTGTTGAAATGTTGTCAACTCCAGTCAACATGGGGCCTTTACATTAATTAATCCAAAGCCAATCCAGCATCTTTTGAATCACCAAAATCACAACATGCAGCTGATATGAAGTGGTGTCCCAGATTTGTTGATTCATAAACAGCAGATTATAAAACAATTATTAACAGAACAAAGACAGTCCTTAAATTCAATACATTTTTGTACAGCCCTAAATCACAACAGCAGTCATCTCAAAATACTTTACATACCCTCCTACATCACTTATTTCTAGTTCTCCCACAATCGACCAGGACTGAGACTGTAAATCCAGGACGGAGCTGTAGATCCTGGACCGAGGCTGTAGATCCACAACTGAAGAGGCCAGGCCAGGAGAAGGGGGAACAGTATATCGCACATAGCTGTTCTATACTGCTGTCAGATGCCTTTGTGATCACAGATCTGATGTGTTACTAGTGTTGTGTTGTTATTCACCCTGATTACAGACAAATACTTGGGTCTCACAGATCGTAAGAGCTTTGTTTGATCACACAGTTCCTGTGCCTGAAGAACATCCGCACATTCCTGGGGGCCTGTCAAGAGAAGTTCCGCCTGAAGAAGAGTGAACTGTTTGAGGCCTTCGACCTGTTTGATGTGCGCGACTTTGCAAAGGTCTGTGTGCGGGTTCCACATAACACCCACAACGCTTAGAGGAAATATCACATGCCTCTGCTGTGAAACCCACATGGACTTCACAGTACATACAGTACTTCACATTTACGTTTAAGATCCATCAGGTAAAGTAGGAGAAATGTTTGCCCAAATGATGTGACTTCTTCATCAACAAAAAAAACACTTGTAGCCGCCGGTGGAGCCATAAATCTTTAATAATGTTATGTTTGGGAAGTGAAACACAATTTATTTGGTTTGAATTGTGTGTCACTGTCTCACTTTCATTAGGATCTCAGCATATACATCACCAAAGCTTCTTCAAAATGACCCCAAAAGCTTCTGGTTCATCAAAACAGAGAAGTTACTTCCTCCCAGTACTTGGATGTGTGTATAGAAAACCACAGTATATACTGTTGTACCCAGACTCTAGTGTAGCTCAAGAATATGTCTGTATGTATGTCTGACTGATTTTTTTCAAAAGATCTCTAATCCAAATTCCATCGTTCATCTTTGTTCTGACTGAACCACAGGAAATGGTAATTGCATTTTTGGTTTGGCAGAATGCACAAAACATTTTATTTAGAGACAATTTCTTTGGCATGTAAGTTCATGAGGTCATTGTCCTTGCTTTTTCTATGTGTTTAATGCAGCTTGTGGTTTATAGATATGATTTTGTGTTGGTGAATTGTGGGTTCAAGTGAATTTTGATATAATTGTTTATTGCAATAATCTCTCAAATAATAAGGCAAGGCAAGTCTTTAGCAGTATTGGTGCATAATTAAGTAAAATGCTAAATACAATAAAAAACAGTAGTAGAGGACTGTCTCAGAGTTTGAAAACGACTGTTCTAGTTTTGAGTTTACGTTTATATTAGCCATTGTTTATCATTCAGTCGAACAGATAGCTTGAGACAAGGCTGTGTTCGGTAGCCTTTGATTATATCAGAATTTCACATTCAAGGCGGTGAACTAGTTAACACTAGTTAATGTAATGGAAATTGTTCTGTTTTGATGTGTGGCCATTTCTATATTTATCAAAGAAATGGCCCACACAAACAATATTTCTTTTTGTTTCATGCAAATTATTACAGGGCAATACTGACACAATCTCAGACTGACTTGAACATAACGTATTACACAACTCCATCAGCCTTATTATAGACTGTACCGTGAGAGGGAAGTTTAAATGCTGAAGTGAAAGTCTCAAGCAGTAAGAGCATGTGACAGGTTGTCCCAACAGGGTAATCCTGTACACGCTCTTTCTGTAACTGGCCCAGAAGAGAACACACTACTCTCATTCTTTTCTCACTCTTTTATTCTTCGGCCATCAGCAGAAAATAAGAAAACATTTGACATTCACAGATTGTAAATTATTTACAGACCAAAAGGGTTAGGCTGAAGTTGAACTCTTATTACTTACACTTACTTATAACAAATGTAACAAAATTACATACAATGTAGCAGATCCACAGAGCTTACAGAATTTCCAAATACAATTTTCATCGTAAGATAATAAATAATTAGTACTAATTTAATCAAACAAATATTCCTTGTATTTACATTATATACAAAAAGACAGAATATGACAAGATTTTTATTATACATATTTATACATAAGGCAAGGCAAGGCAAGTTTATTTGCATAGCACAATTCATACACAAGGCAACTCAAAGTGCTGAACAAAACAAGAAAGCAAATAATCACAGAACATTAAAAAGAAAGATAAAAATATAAAATCCCTCAGTTGTATGCACAGCTAAACAAAACTGTCTTTAACCTGGTTTTAAACATTGTCATCGAGGAGGCCTGTCTCACATCTTCAGGAAGACTGTTCCAGATTGTACATACACACACATACATACATACACCTATACTTGTACCTGCATACACACATTCACATATGCACACATATACAGTGCAAACATAACATATATACACATAAATATAGACAATATACACAGATATGTTTAATACTGTATTATACAATATTTATTATTAGTTTTAATGTTTATCTATTCTTTTTATTTTTTTAGATATTGAGAATATCTGGTATTGATGTAATTCATGTATAAATCTTTATATTATTGTTATTATTATCCTAGTGATTTAGACTTTTATTCAACAATGGCCTTAAAGTGTTTTTTAAATGTGTGAATTGAGCTGGAACATTCAAGTGGCTCATCCAGGCCATTCCAAAGATGACCCCCCTGCACAGAGAGGCATCTACTTTTTAAACTGGTTCTTACATTTGATTTCTGAAAGAAAGACAAACCTCTTAAGTCATAAGGACTCTCTCTGGGCTTGAACTTCTCCTGTATGCGCTGAGGGAGCAGGTGGTTATGGGGTTTGTACATGAAAATCGCTGTGTTGAGGTCAACAAGGCCATGAAACTCTAACGTTTTTAATTTGATAAAAAGGGCGTTTGTTGGAGCATAATTTACTATTCTGATAGCCTTGAAATGGATTTGAAATTGTTTCCCCATATTTTGACACAATAATTGAGATATGAAGTATGAAAGAGTTGTACGACATTTTAAGTGCATTTTGGTTTACAGAGTATTTAACTTTATGCAACATTGCTATAATTTTTGACCAGTGGAAAGCAAGGGAGAACAGGGCACCAGGTGAGAGCAGAGCACCAGCCACAACAGGAGAACTGACCAGAGAGCACTGAAGGCACAACTGTCTGGCTACCAATGCTCGTTGTTGTGCAATGCATCAGATTTCCCCTTCTTCCTGAATTGCTCATTAGTGACGTCATGCTGGTTCTCTTCCTTTTTACAAAATAGAGAGCAGCACGGAATGTCAATAACATTATAAAGTGTATACTGTGTACAATGTATCTCAATTATTCTTGTTCTGAAAAAGTGACGGCTACACGTGACTACTGTGTGTGTGTGTGCGTGTGCGTGTGCAGGTGCTCAGTACCTTGTCCCTCTTGTCCCAATCACCTGTTGCTTTACAAAGCGGAGCACAGTAAGTGATGTCTACAAACTGATTCATTGTGTTTCCCATTATGCCGACTGAAGCACCGTGATCACCTGTTTTTCCCCAGGCCTTTTCCTTTGGGAAGTTACTCTGCGGATGATGACATCTACAACGGGCTGTCGGACCAGATCGAGTATGTCCTCCCTTCTGTGAAAGCACTCACAAAACTGAAAATGCTCTGTTTGTGTCGCTCTATATAAATACTTTCAGGATGAACATGAATAGATGTACACTCAAGAATTGAAGTGACCTATTGTCTGTAAAACATTGAGTCTGTCTGAATTTCCCTGTCAAAGAGATAGATTGTGAGAGGAAGGGAAAAAAAAATCTTAATGTGTGTTAGTGAAGTCAAACAGGACTCACACCATCTGTTTGTCACTCAGAATTATCTGCTTTTATACATATCTTTAGTGTATATTTATCCAATGTGTGGTTATAAAAGTTGTGCCTTAGGCTATACAAAGTGCTGAACAATCCTTTTGACATCCCTCCTCCTAAAGCAGGGCGCATTCTGAAATTGCTTTGCAGTTGTAATAATTGTACACTCTATGTCTTCAGTGACACGGTGGAAGAGGATGACGACCTCTACGACTGTGTGGAGGATGAGGAGGCTGAGGGAGATGAGATCTACGAGGACCTGATGAGGACAGAGGAGCCCCCAGAGACGGTGAGACCCCTGACTCTCCCTTTAGTGTTCCCCTATGGCTGGGTGAGTGTCTGAATCAAAATTTAGGGCACTGAACACCACTCTTTTTTTCCAAGATGTCTTCAGTGGGTAATTTAGACACAATGAAAGCAAACTGTTTTGGAGGCCGTAGTTTACATATACAGTGGGGCAAAAAAGTATTTAGTCAGCCACAATTACAGGGAGGCCTTTAATTTTCATCATAGGTAAACCTCATCTATGAGAGACAAGAAATTCAGAAAATCACAAATAATGGTGGCTGCATACTATACTTCCGCACTCCTTATGAAGTTATTCAACAGCAAAGACCAAAACAAACACATATTTCAGACAGACATTGTTTGGAGAGACACAGTACATGCGGAAAACATGCAGATCTTTTTGATGGGACATTGCTCTGACCCGTCTCGTCCAATATGGCGTGTCAGAGGGGAGTGTGGGTGAGGATGGGGGATAGACCATAGACTGAAAGAGAGAGAGGCAGACAATGTAGTAGGGAGGTCCCCCCCCTACACGGTACGGCACGGTGGCTGAGTGGATAGCACTCTCAGCAAGAAGGTCCTGGGTTCAAATCCCGGTCGGACCAGGGCCTTTCTGAGTGGAGTTTGCATGTTCTCCCCGTGTCTGCGTAGGTTTCCTCTGGGTACTCCGGTTTTCCCTACCACTAAAAAAATATGTACAATAGTTCTGGCATGCGCCTCCTGTACTGGCGACCCAGCTCCCATCTCTGTGCGGAGTGAGAGATAAATGCCCAAAATATTGTAAACTGCTTTGAGACTCAGATCTGCAGTGAAAAGGCGGTATATAAATAAAGATTACTTACTACTACTACTACATTGTCTGCCTCTGGTGAATTGAGAGTCTGTGACTTTTGAGAGAGAGTAAGTAATACTACTCGATCCTTGAGTAGTGGAATGTGGAGGTCAGTAGATAAGAGCAGTGCCTGCAGACAGGGGAGACAATTTGTATAAGCACTTTAGCTGATCAGATCAAAGGCAGTTATATAATTACTGGATCCCCTCCGTTAACTGTTATCCAGAGTCAGTGCGAGAGTCCGCCATGAGGCCCAAGTTCATTCAGCTTCTCTTCCAAGCGCTTATGTCCATCCATTGATCTTGTTCCCAGATCTTTAAGAGAATGTTTGACCTGTATCACACACCGTTGTGTCCCCATTGAGCTCTCGGCCACAATCCTGGTTAACTCCCAAAGACTCTCCTTGTTTTCCATGGAAAGCCTCTCATAAAATTTCTGAGTAGACATTCCTCCAATGTTGCGGTAGATATGGCCAACTCCAAACCCAATCAGGAGAAACCCTGCTACAATAATTCCAAAAATGTATAAATCCTCAATGTCTTCATTGGGCAGTCCCGACAGACAAATGGGGTGCCACAGTCTTCAGCTGTTGAACACGTACCCCTCAGCAGCCGCACTGTCTGGACAGGCGGCATCTCCAGAACCGGCTTTACGTGATTGCATTGAGGGACCAGTTGATTAGTTTCATCATTTTTTCAAATTGTACACAGGCAGTACTCTAGGAAAAAGACAGTCAGGGCAATTAGAGCAGAAGCAGAGAGAGACACGTCTGCACTCGACAAGAGTCAGGAGGGGAAAAAGGAGATTTTCATTAAAAATCTCACAATACATGGCCCCATTCATTCTTTCCTTTACATGGAACAGTCGTCCTGGTCCCTTTGCAGAAAAACAGCCCGAAAGCTGTGACCTAAGCAGCTCAGTGAAAAAGAGTCTGAGGAACCTTGGAGTCACTTTTGATGAAGGGATGTCCCTAGAACCTCATGCCAAACAGCTGATCCGTAACTGTAACTTCCACTTGCGCAACAGGTCGGGAGCTGGAGATGATTGTCCATGCTTTTGTTTCCTTGCGATTGGAGTATTGTATCAGCCTGTTTACATGTCTTAGTAAAAATGATCTGGCTCATTTACAAATTGTTCAAAATTCTACAGCGAGGCTTTTGACCCGCACCCACAGGAGAGCCCACAGGAGAGAATATTTATCTAATCTTAAAGTCCTTACATTGGCTCCCTGTCTCACACATAATATTTTTTTAAATTCTAGAGCTGACATTCAGGGCTCTTCATGGTCAGGCGCCTGAATACACCCAGTGCCTGATCCACCCCTATGTCTCCAACAGGAGCCTGAGGTCCTCCACTCAGAACCTGTTGATGGTCCCCCGCACTCGTTTTAAAACCAGAGGAGACAGATCCTTCCAGGCAGTTGCTCCTCACCTTAAGAATGAGCTTCCTCAGTCTCTGCGCATCTTAGAGACGGTTGTTGATTTCAAGTCCCAACTTAAGACCTATATGTTTAGACAGGCTTTCTCGCCTCACTGTACATAGGCCTCCGTGAACTGTACTCATGATGAGGACCGTCTTCTCTGTCTTTGTTTATAACTCTCACTTGTATGTGTATTTTTAATGTGTTTTAAATGTGAGGCACTGTGAAAGGCGCTATACAAAAAAACTTGACTTACTTATACTTACTTACAAAGCATGATGTTTCCATCCCCATGCTTCACAGTAGGTATAGTTTTCCTTGGATGCAACTCAGCATTCTTTCTTCTCCAAACAATAAGTTTTTACAATAATAATAATAATAATAATAATAATGCATTGGTTTTATATAGCGCTTTTTTGGACACTCGCCTATCTCTGCCGTTGAAACTAATGTGCCATCACTTTTGGCTTCTATGGGGCTTTTTCAAAATGGCAGTCCCTCCTGCGGGGGGAAAAAAAACGCATTTGCACATGCGGTAGCCGGCACCAGCCCCATTCATTTAACAAGTGCCTTCTGAAGTCCACAGCGGCTAAACTAGAGTGGTTCAAAAAAATATACTCCCCTCAGCATTGACACGCATCTGGAACGTAGCTTTGGGTCAGAGGCCGACTTCCTGTAAATAACTTATAAAGTTGTCCATGTAAAAGTTTGTTGGAAAGTGTCTGTATTGCTCCAACTGGATGACTATAGCATTATAAAGTGTTTCCCTCTGGTCCTTGATACCTGCACTGATGAACACTGCTGACCTCACGCATCTGGGCAGTAATGTTTAACAATGTCAGAATGTGCCATATGGGACCACACTGTCACTTTATTTAGTCAATTTTAGTCCCGAGCCTCATGCTGCTAACATGTACAGTAGTATCACAACCGCATGCTGCTAACATGTACAGTAGTATCATCCCTATTTGAACCTTCAGAGCTATTGACTTATTACTTCATAAATCTTGCACCAAAGTTTCTAACAGATTTATAGTTCAGTTCATGAAAGCATATAGTGTTCACTTAACTTCACTCACTGAAACATAAGTATATATTTATTTTCTCTAGAGTACGTAGGGGTACACCCTATATTTTTATACCATTTCACGTTTTTTATCAAGCTGAAGATAAAGATTTTGATTTTCAATTGTAGAGTTGTGCTATACGCGATATTCACGTATCGTGTTTTGTGTGCTTCTCTTTCCTGTGATGCAAAGCTGAAATGTCCCCACTCTGAGATAAAAAAAAAAAAAAATTTTATTCATGAATGAAAAAAAGTCTGCATGTTTGAATGAAGTATATTCTGATATCATATTTCTGAATTTACTTTTGAAAATGACACACACACACACACACACACACACACACTGTTTGCTGTTATGTCAACACTTTGTTGTGATGACTTTTGAAAATTCATGTAGTGAGAGCAGTCTAAAAGGGCATTCAGACATTAAGGAAAGTCTTGGGAATACAAATGAGCCACAATAATCAGTTCTTGTCAACATGAGGATAATTGTCTCGTCCGCGCTATTTTCAACACATAAATATTCCATAGTATTGCACAGTCCCGTCAATGCAAGGGTACAAATCAACATACTAGTGAAAGACCATAGTTACATACTACAGAATGAGCAACAAAGTACTGTACATACAATGACTAAAGTGCTAGTTCAGTGCAGATTGAGAACATGGAAAATGGATTGCAGTTTCCCATACAAAATACTGTTGGAATCTCTCACATGCTCATGTTACCCACTGCAGAGGACGGGGGTGGACAAGCGAGAGTGCTGCCTGAAGGAGATCCAACAAACGGAGGAGAAGTATTCAGAAACGCTGCAGTCCATTCTTCAGGTCTGTGTGATTATTGCATCATTATTGTCCAATTAACTTAGTTTGCTCTAAAAAATAAGATATGAGGAACTGAACTAAACCAAACTCAGAAAAATACTGTGAGAATTCCATGCTTGTAGCACTTCATGAAGCCCCTGGTGCGGTTCCTTCAGCCACAGGACATGGAGAACGTCTTCATCAACATAAAGGTATATTTTATTCCATTGCTCCCGTCTCATACAGTATGCAGGAGTTGGGCTGAGAACTGTGGCTTTGTGTCTTTATGGTGCATAGGATTTAGCAGATATTCATCGGAACCTGCTGGAGCAGATCCAAACTTCCATCATACAGTTTGGAGCCAAAACTCTACACCAGGTGTTTCTGAACAACAAAGAGAGGTGCCTTTTTTCACATCTGCTCACTGTAAACGTATGGAGACACGACTTAATCATGTAAACTCAAATGTTCCACGTTGAAATTATATTCACACGTTTAAAGAAAACTTTTAACAGAAAGGGAAAGGTTTGACTTTCTTTCTTTCTAATTTTTTCTCTCATAGTAGTGGTAAGATGAAAAAAAAAACGGGCATCTCTCATCTTTCCTTCCCCCTGTATATTGCAGATACACACACACACATATATATATATAAAAATATTGATATATATCACGCGCATCACGCCTTTTATATATTGTATCTACAAATGCTGTTTGCTTATTGTCATTTCATTCTTTCTAAATCAACCTTTCCCAGAGAGCGCGAAAGACACCATTGAAAACCTGGTTTGTGGCTGAGAATGACGGAAATGTTGTTCCCATGTAGGAGCACTGTTGTTTGCAGTAGAAGCCGCGGTGCGTAGGGTTCAGTTACCTGTACCCAGGAGAAGAGCAAGTGGGTCATGCCAACCTGTTTCAAACAAGTGCCCTATAGTCCAATTAGCAAGATGGATTTCAAATCTGCAAAAACGAAACATAAACAACTTGTAGTAAACCAAACAAGAGCGGGAAACGATAAAAACTAAATTTGTCCTTGTCACGCTTGCTGTTGTTAGCACAATTAAACACGGCACAATTGTACGGCATTGCTTCAAAGAACTTAAATGATGCTTGAAAGACTCTAGTGTAGCAGCGTGCTTTACCACCAACTTCGCCGACTTCGAGTAAGCTTACCTTTGTTTCACAGGATGTGACACATGAAAGTCAAGAATATAAAAAAACTCCAGGCAAAATGAAGATTTTTGAAAACGCACATGTTTGGAATGTTATGAATGTGATTGAAAACGCAGGTGTTTGGTTATGTGTGGATACAAATTATTTTATAAATGGAGAGAAGGAAATATTCGGTTTTAAAAATACCCGGCCACGTGTGGACATGACCTAAAACTAATCCAGTGATAAACGGACCGCAGTGCAAAAATAAATACAATGAAAATGCGTCAATTTTTTTAGCTTTTGTGTAATTTATTAATCTTAAAGGTGCCAAATTTCGCTTTTCTTAATTTTTTACAGTCGCATCCTACGCACATGATAATAATAATAATATGGGTGATACACCATTCAACACTCGAAACACGTCAAATTATAGCCATTTTGTGCATAGAGGTGATCTCAGCTCATGTGAAACGCTTGGATCAGTGCTCCTCTGTCTGTGAGCCCACCTCGCATCACGCTTAGTTCCGAGGTAAACAAGAGTCATTTCACACCTGAGAATAAACTTTTTCAAACAATGGCAACCCATTAAATAGAGCCCTATGTCCTTGATCCAGAATCAGAACCTAGTTATTTAGTTCACAGTGATATACAGCGAGTTAGTTGCATTGTACTCACTGAGGCTCCCGTTAGCATCTTTTATGTTGGAAATAACACCAAGTTTCCAGATCAGCTTTAAGTAGGTCCCGTTTCAAGGTAACTGTTGTTCTGGAACAGTCTTTGGTGGTATCACCGTCACTCGCAAAAAAAGATCTGCGAGTTTTGTCGCGGATTTCAGACTCGCGGATACGAGGCAGATATCCCCGTGAACAAAGTCGATCCCCATTCTCTGTCTTTGAGCCAAATACTCTTGTCACATATTTAAACCAACAACACATTTTCTCCAAGTTGACATGAAGCTAGCACAAAAAAGTACAGATGCTTATTTACTGTCTATGCACCACACGCTGGACTCGGAGAGAGGCTGCATGGGCTGCATAGACTGCGCTTATTCGCTGGTTCAGTTTCTCTCCGTTGTCAATTGTGCCACGTCATGATTTGAAAATCAGCTCGTTTTTGTGCCTCTCGAGAATGAAAGAAAAATATCTCTCTTACTAAAGCTTGACGGAATCAATGAAAAAACTACTTTGGGCATGTGTATGAAGGCCAAATAGCACTGTAATCATGTTTAAAACAGAGAAAAGTCAAAAAGCGTAATATGGGCCCTTTAATTAAAGCGTTAAAGTCCCGGCCCTAAATATATTATATGTTTTTAAAGAAGATAGCATTACTGAAGTTAAATGAATACTTTCTTAATGTACTGTTTGTGTTATGAATAGATACATAGATGGCCAATCTCTGTTTCATCATCAGACTCCTGCTGTACGGGCGATACTGCAGCCAAGTGGAGGCAGCCACAAAACTTATCGACCTGCTTTCTTGTACAAGAGAGGACATCAGGATGAAGCTGGAGGTGACACACACACACACACACACGCACCATACATGGTTCAGTCAGTAGCTTGTGAACACTCAAAGTCAATCAGATCTCACCCCAAATAGTGACTCACAGAGTTCTTTCTGACAAGTATGCAACAAATAACAGCAAGAACATTTTTGCAAGACTCTTTCTGTTGGGACTGTTATATTTATGAAAAGTTAGGTACCCCAGCTTTAATACCGCTTAGTACCCACCTTATTTTGACTTGTTCCCAAAAGTTGGGCATTCCCAAATGTATTTGCATATTTAAAAATACATCTTACACATAACATTGCTACGACCCAGTGTTGGACCCCAAAGCAGAGACTGAGAGTTGCACAATTCACAAAAAGGTGATTTAATTCACAAACAAAAAACTAAAGGGCAGACAGGCAGTGGATACAGGGAGCTGGCTGACAGGCGAGACTTGACCTGAACACAAGGCAAAAAACTATTAGAAAAAAGGCCAAAAAGTTACAGCAACAACATATGTTCAGACAAAGTTCACTCACTCGTGACATGGGATAATCTGGCTGTGTGATCAATCTAAGTTTAAAGATCAATTTAAAGATATAGTCTTTTAGTTCATTTAGATATACACTTGAATAATATATGTCATTCCAATTTGTTTTGCCTCGCCTAAAATATCAAATTTCTAAAGTTGCCCTTTTTCATAAACTAGTGCCATTTGGCCTTATTTGGCATGGCAGCTTTTGGCTGACATTATACATTTCAGACTTTTTAAAATGTGACATTGATGTGTGCATAACCTGAGTGCTCTTATTTCTACTTTTATTCTGTTGTAGTTTGCGCAACTATGACACTGACAAATAATCTCTTTTTGTTTATCTTTTTCTTGCTCTCTCTTGATTTTTAAATCATTTTAATTCTGCTCAAAAACCTGGATTAATTTTTTTAAATGTCTTCACATATACAACTTTTTATGACTGTTACAACTGGAGCAAAAGTTTGGAAGAGGACAAAAAATCAACAACAAAAAGACCTTCTTCTGTAACCACTGTTGGATCTGTCAATAAGATATAGAGAAACTCCTAAAATTGGAACTTGGGCTTCACCAAACACTCCCAAGGAAATCAAATTGACATCAAATGGACGATGGATAACTTAACAGGCATTTTTTCTTCCACTGCTTATCTATTTTTTTGATACATTGGAACTATAGTAATGTAACTTGTATTTGAGATATCAAACACTTTCCAACCTGCCAGGGTTGTTTCATGTTTACATACAAAATGTGTAATTTGTGAAGTGCAATTATTTAGATAAGTGTTCAAAAAATGGACAATGGAAAACTAAGGCAAATGACCAATGAAACAGATGGGAATGCTACAGTTAATGTAAATTATGTCATTTAATTTCCAAAACTTTGCAACAAACAAAGTTTTGGAAATTATTGGCACAAAGAGTGTTAATGGAACATCTCATCCTCATGCTTTATATCATCAGAGTAGGCCTCCAGGTCTCATGCAACTAGAAAATGAATGGAAAAAGCTTAGTAGTTTCAATGACAAGGTTCAAGGCATCAAAAACACCATTGTCTCCAATCCACAGATAACCCTCCAACAACCAAAAAGGCTCTTTGAGCTAACTCACTTTGCACCTGTAAATGATCAAACTGTCCAAGAGATAATCTCCAGTCTGAGCTCCTCCACATGCAGCCTGGATGTACTACCCACTAGATTTCTGAAGTCTGTTCTGAGCAGTCTGTTACCTTCACTCACACAGATAGTAAACATGTCCCTTCATTCTGGAATATTCCTAAAGGCCCTGAAAACTGCAGTCATCAGGCCCCTGCTAAAAAAGAGCAGTCCGGATGCCACCGTACCTAACAACTATCGTCCCATCTCATCTCAAATCTGCCATTTATGGGGAAAGTCCTTGAGAAAGTTGTCTACCTACAGCTTACTAGATTTCTTATAATCAACAACTCATTTGATATGTTTCAGTCCGGCTTTAGACCCCACCACAGCACTGAGACTGCCCTTGTCAAGGTTACAAACAATATCTGGCTGAACACTGACGCAGGCAAAGTCTCAATCTTAATCTTGTTAGATCTAAGTGCTGCCTTTGACACTGTCGACCATGAGATCCTCTTACAGAGATTAGAGGACTGGGTTGGCGTCGCTGGCACCGCCCTAAGTTGGTTTAGGTCTTACCTTGAAGACAGGAAGGGGTCGATCCTGGGACCTCTTCTGTTCAATCTCTACATGCTGCCGTTAGGTCAGTTAATACGCAGAAACAAAGTTTCCTATCATAACTATGCAGACGACACTCAGATCTATGTCTCACTGACTGCAGGAGAACATGGACCAGTGGACTCACTCCTTCACTGTATCCAACAGATCAGTGAGTGGATGCAGAACAACTTCCTTCAGCTAAACGCAGACAAAACTGAAATGATTGTCTTTGGTCCCCAGAAACAAAGAGAGAGCGTCATCTGTCACCTACAGTCTCTCTCCCTAAAACCTTCAAACAAGGTCAGAAATCTAGGGGTAATACTGGACTCAGACTTAAATTTTAATTGCCACATTAAATCAGTAACATCAGCAGCTTTTTACCATCTAAAAAATATTGCCAGGATCAAAAACATAGTGTCTAAAGCAGACTTGGAGATTCTTATCCATGCATTTGTCTCTAGTAGGTTAGACTACTGCAATGGCCTGCTCACAGGTCTGCTCCAACCATAACCACAACACAGCCATTGCCACCTCCTTCTCCCTGGAAAGGTCTCAGCTCCATACTGTACCTTGCTGAGGAAGGGTCTTAACCACAGTGGTAGCAGCAGCAGACACACAACCATCTCCCCTAGAGACAGATTCATCACCACCATGAGTTTAGGAATTTTTCATCTTCATTGAAAAAATATTGTTTTAATAAAATTGCTTTGAATTATCTTTTTATGATTTATAATAAAAGACGGTTTGTTGAGTGGTATGTTTCTTTTAAAGTTGATTCTTGTAAAATTTAAATTGTGATGATTGTTCAGGATCTTTTGTAAGAAGTGTTGTGTGTTTCCACAGGAATGTTCCAAACGAGCAAACAGCGGGCGCTTCTCCCTGCGAGACTTACTCATGGTGCCCTTACAGAGGGTGCTGAAGTACCCCCTGCTCCTACAGGTCTGTCCAGTATAGAGCGCTGGTTCTCAACTCAGAGGTTGGGAATCATTTTGAGTGTGGCATGAGCCTTTCCTGTAAAGTATTTTTTTCTGCTAAAAGTCTAGAAATCTAGAAAAAAGTTTTCATTCAAATAAATTGCCTTTGATTAAAGAAAGTCATAACAAGAAGTGTGGCCCATTATACGTTTTTATACTACAAAAACTTGGAAGAGAGGCTGCGATCATGTGAGCTCAGCACTTTCCAAAGAGCCTATAGTTTTACTTTATGGAAGGGGGAAGCTGAAATATGTTCTGTGATAAATATGGTCAAAAGAGTCAAAAGTCAGATTTAAATCCTAGTTTGGAGCTAATCTGTCTGTAATTCCTTGGCCAAATCCACACAACAGGCTACAAATATATTAATATTGAAGAATTTACAGATAGCTATGAAACATAGCAGTTATTCATTTTTTTTTTTTTTGCTCCCTGTATGCTCCTACTGTACTGTATGTGCACTGCAACATTGAAATTTCCCCACTGTGGGACGAATAAAGGTTCTCTTATCTTATCATATTAAATAGCAGTTTAGCATTATTCAATGGTTATGAATTAATTAATTTGTGAAAAAAAATGACAGCAATTTGTTTATATACAAATCTTTGTTCTTAATTGGGGTTGTGGCTTGGCGTTACATGGTTATGGTGCCCCGTGACAGGGCAGGATGTGCTCCATCTACTCAGTTCCAGTTGAGAACCACAGAGAATACATGTTCACATTCTGTAGTGAAGAAGGTCCTAACCCCAACCCTTTTGATATTGAAAAGTCCAAATCAATCATGTTTTACTCATGTGATTTGCAGGAACTAATGAAGCACACCACTGACCCCACAGACAAGGAGAATCTGCACACCGCTCTGGACGCCATGAGAGTAAGAGGCAGCTGTGGCAAAATCACGAGCAAATATTCTTCTGGTTGTAGTGGTTGTACTCAATGACATCTGTATATCAATAGTGTAAATGTTAAACATGAAAAACTCAATATTTGATGTGAACTCCATGTTTGTGTTACTTTGCAGGACTTGGCTCAGTGTGTGAATGAAGTGAAGCGGGACAATGAGATCATCAGACAGATCACATCTTTCCAGCTATCTATAGAGAACATGGTAAGACATGTAGCAGACACACTGATTCTGACCTCCTTGCTGTCTTCCTGGCCTCCTATGACCTCCTGCTGCCCTCCTGCCCTGCTGACCTCTTGCTGTCCTCCTGCTGACTCCCTGCTGTCCCCTTGACCTCCTGTCCTCTTGCTGTCCAGAGTGAGTCCTTAGCCCTGTATGGCCGGCCCAAGATTGACGGAGAGCTGAAGATCTGCAGCTCGGAGAAGAAGTCCAAACACGACAGGTAGTGATCAGGGGTTCTCAAACTGAGGAACCTGTAGTTTTTCTATATTGTACGTGAGGGTCGGGCTTCTCAAACTGTTGTACTAATAAATGAAGACAACATGCAGGTTATTCCTGTCCTGTATTGTTCCCATACTGTACATGAGGGGCAGGGTTCTCAAACTGGGTTTTCCAATACCTGCTGTTGTTTCACAAGTTTTGGGATATCTTAAACAACTGAACTTAAACTCTTTCCAGCAACAGAACAGTCTAAGTTCACTCTACAATCTAAAACATATAGCTGATAGCAATAGGCCTCTGTAATAGGCCTCTGTGGATAGTGCCGGCTCAAAACATTTTTAATGAATTATATTAGTGAAAAAGTGATCCTTGGTCTAGAACAATTGTTATTGTAACCAATGGAAAAATAAAAAGCCCTCTGTAATCAGTAGTTTAAGATAAGTTAAGAGATGCTTTATCCATCCCACAGTGTGGAAATTTCAATGTTGCAATGCACATACAGCTGCTATATTGCACATTGCACATGTGCACATTGCACATGATTGGCTCAGCAGTTCTCATTGTACAGTCTGACAGCAGCATTATTGCTTTTGAAGTACAGTAATTAGAGTAGTTATCTCATTACTTTTTGAAGAAGTAAATGTATACTTCCCAATATACTGGGCTCCAAAATAAACTACAGTCGCAGCAGTACCGCTTTGTAGCCTGACCCTTGTAGTTCCACCATGCTCCACCAGAGTCATTTGGCTGAACACAAGGGTCTGGAATCGAACGCAATGAAAACTCCTTCAGGAGATCAAAAAATATATTTTTGGGCATTCTCGCGGGTTTTGGGGGTTGCCAAAATCTTGACGGCATTTGGCAACCGCAACGCAGTGAGGAGTCATGCGTTTTGAGTGGTTGAAGGAACACATCATTCAAGATAACAGACAAGAGCTTTATCCAATCACATACAAGGATTTTTTTTACAAGGCCCCGCCTTCTGAAATTCCTCCGCTATGAAGCAGACCCAGACCCTTGTGTGAAGCTCAGCAAACTACTGAGGTCTGGCGAGAGACCACGTTGTACATCCTCCTTCGAACACATACTCATTTGGTATACTTACAAGATGGCAACTGAGTGATCTTGTAAATGAGTGAACGCTGGAGGAGCTCAGAGTAGAGTCCCTCCTTCTCCATGTTAAGAGGAGCCTGGGTCTAACATCTGTCTCGGGTGCCGTCTCTCTGGAGCAATGGAAAAAGCCAAAAAATTATCATACAGCCATATATCTATATTTGTCTTTTCCATGTGAATTTCTGACCAAAGAGTTCTTGTTCTCAGGTATGCATTCCTGTTTGATAAGGCTATGTTTGTGTGCAAAAAGAAGAGCGGGGAATTGTTTGAACTAAAGGAGACAGTTGACCTCCAGTACTACCAGATTCGAGACGAGTCCTTAGGAGAGAGGGACAAGAAGGTATTGCTCCAGAGCCATGTTTCTGATTCAGTTGTGCTCAATGTACTCAGAGATGTCCTTCTGCCTTCTGTCCTTCCACAGTGGTCCCACCTATTCATACTGCTGGACTGCTATGGGAGAGGAGGTTATGACCTGTTTTTCAAAACCAGAGAGCTGAAAAAGAAGTGGCTGGAGCAGTTTGAGATGGCAATGTGAGTTGCACATCACAAAACTCTGGAAAGACACGCACACACATACATACATAGATATTTAAGAAAGGACAGAGGCACTCATGGGATTTGAAAAAAGGAAAAAGCCTTTATAAAATCATGGTTTTTAGCATTTGAAAAATGCCTACATGTTGCATGAAGTAGGACTTCTTGAGCTCAGCCTATGTTCCGGTAATGCATGCTGTGTAGGGGTTTGTCCTCCCATGATGGGCCTCCAGCCTCCTCATCTTGTCACTTTCTGAGACATTCACTGAGCACCGTTTGAGCCTACTAACTTATAGTTATGGAGTTAGTAGTGGCCTCCTTTTTTACGGCTTTCATGCAGTCTCTAGGTGCTGGATTTGGGATGAAACCTACCTTACATGGTGAGAAGCTTTCATGTTTTAACATCTGTGGTCTACAATCTTTTCCTTTGACCATATGATTATTCCTGAAGGGTATCTGATCACTGGGAAGCTGTTGATTGCCTGTGACCTGAAGGGCTGTTGCTGATTATTACTATTGTTAGCTTTTTAGAATGATATATATATATTTTTTTTTTTGGCTGCTACTGGACAACTGAACGGGGACCAATAAAGTATCTATCTATCTATCTTGAGCCGGCATACTTGCTGGAGGAATTTAGTAGTTTCTGCTTTCTGGCCATTCATTCACAACATGAGTTCACACATATAGTATAATAGTGATAAAACGGCCTGGTGTTGCAGATCTAACATGTGCCCAGAAAACGCCACAGCCAACAACCATGACTTCCAGATGCACTGCTTTGAAGAGGCCTCCTCCTGCAAAGCCTGCTCCATGCTCCTTCGGTACGATCCCCAAAACACAGGGGCCATGTTCTCATGCTCCTCTTTCGTGTCCTAACTGTGAATCCTGTGTGCAGTGGAATATTCTTCCAGGGCTATCAGTGCACTCGCTGTAAGATGGCTGCGCACAAAGAGTGCCTAGGAAGAGTGCCAGCGTGTGGGAGAAGCTCAGGTCAGTGGAGAAGTCCCAGAAGGAGTTCTGGTTGATCACATTGTATCTCCAGTGATTTCTTTCAGTCAAGTTTCATTCAACACAGATTTTGTATTTGTATCACAACTATTATTAACTTTGTAATATTTGATTGTGATTCAGATCACTCAGGAACTATGAGGAAGGTATGATACAACATAGGGCTGGGCGATAAAACGATAACGATATATATTGCGATAGACGCGTATTCAATACCAATAGAAAACGGGGTCGATAGCATGTTCGATAGTTTAACTTCACTCCGTCAGAAAAAAACAGGAAGAAAACACAGGAAGTAAAGCCGAGTCAGAAGCGCAAAGCATTCTGGGGGATGTAGGCATAGGCTCCTTGACCTATCACAGCCAAATATGAACCGCAAAACATTCTGGAAATGCAAAAACAACAACTGCACCATGCGTAGCGTCCATGGATCTAAAGATTGTTTTTCAATGCTGTATCAATGGTTATGCACGTCCGTGCAAGGCATAGCATGTGCGGTGTGGCAGAGGCAGTGGACACAGAGACCTGGTGCATGCGGCGAAAGCAAAAGATGAACTTTTTCCTCCGTGCGGCTATCAGAGAGCGGCCGCACGGAGCCGTCATGAGGACACAAAACAGGAGATGAACCAGGACTAAACCAGGATTTCACCAGGACTAACTATGGGGGAGACTGCTTGTGAACATAGTCGACACGACAAACTTATTTATTGAAGTAAAAAAATAAAAATAATAATAATCAATATATATCGTTATCGGCCGATATGAATTATTTATATTGTGATATAGTTTTCAGCCATATCGCCCAGCCCTAATACAACACAATAAGATATGTGTTAGTAGTTATTTCCATTCTGATCACTCTGTTCTTGCAGCCTAAACCACGGGCCTCAGCGGCACCTTCCACAGGTAGGATGTCATTTTCAACCTTATTCCACTCTTCACCTTGGGCAGATGCAGGGATAGGTTTGTGTAACTGTAAGGGAGAATATAACCTCACTGTTTCTAATGTATATCCTGTTGTTGTCACTTAACTTAACATTGTCACTTGTGAACTTCATCTAACACTTCACCAACATTTTAGAAATCGAGAGCTATTTGGATTACCAAATGGCTTGTGCAAATGTATTTTTCTATTTATATTTTTATAAATATTAGAAACATGAACCAAGCCCCCACTGAAAGATCAAGGCTATGCTCACACTCAGAGAGCAGCCGTCCTCCTGTGGACTCACCACCTGCAAAGAATCAGTGAGGGGCTGGTGCTATGAGACTTGGGTGGCATCTCTGATTGCCACCCCCCTGACCCAGAAATGGATTAAAGGGTAGAAAATGGATGGATGGAGAAACATGAACGTAAACATTCCAGATTAAGGCTAATTTCCATCTGTAGTCCCATGGGGTTTTGGTCACATACAGAAATAAAAAGGATGTGTTTTGGAGGTCAAGGGAGATAGTGCTTCAGAGCTGGGGAGCAGAGCGGCAGAGGGCACAAGGAGCTGGAGGGATTAGGAGGACCAGAGGGAGTGGGTAGGTGTGCTGATGTGGGGGAGATCAGCGGTTGTGTATGGCTTTGAAAGTGAGATGCTGAAATTTGTTCTGAATCTGGTGGGTGATGGGTGGAGCTGTTGTGGGACAGGGGTGATGTGGTTAATGGTGGGAGTGCGTGTGATGATGCATGCTGCACAGTTTTAGACCACTTGGAGTTTGTGTAGAGTTTTCTGAGGGAGACCAAACAGAAGAGCAATCCAGATGGGAAGTGACAAGGCTATGAACCAGGACTGCAATAGAGAGAAGTAGGGGCAGAGGGCAGCGGATGTTGCGTAAAGCAGTGCTAGTGACGTTGTTAATGAGAGAATACTATTTCAAGGAGGACACCCAGACTCTTACCCTGTAGGGAGGAAGATATGGAGGAGCTGTCGATGGAGACAAAGAAATTCTTGATTTTATTAAGGGTTGGGTTTGGGGGGGGGAGGCCCCGCGGAAGACCTAGGACATGCTGGAGGGACTATGTCTCTCAGCTGGCCTGGGAACGCCTTGGGGTCCCCCCGGACGAGCTGGAGGAAGTGTGTGTGGATAGGGAAGTCTGGGTATCTCTGCTTAGACTGCTGCCCCCGCGACCCGACAACGGATAAAGCGGAAGAAAATGGATGGATGGTTGGGTTTGGGGCCTATAAGGAGGATTTCTGTTTTAGTGCTGTTGAGTTTAAGAAAGTTTGAAGTGAACCAGGTTTTTATTTTGGGGAAAGTCTGAGGCACTCTGACTAAACACGTTGCTGAGAACATGGTGAAAAGCAAAAAACACACAGTGAAAAGTTTCTTTGGACCTGGTTTAAAAAGACCACTGTTAAATGAAATGCCAGAGAATAAAAGCAGGTGTAAAAAATATTGAAAATAAGACAAGATAAGAAAAACGTCATTATACATATTATATTATATATATGATATTGGACAGGTAATAAAAGTGATTCAAACCTGTGCAATAAAAACCGGACTAAATACATGGGTTTAAATAGGAGGCTAAAATCAGACAATGCTACTCCTTGGCCCTGGGCGTGGCTCCAGCTCTGTTCTTTCTCCCTGTCCTTAGCTTCCGCCTACCCGAGTCTGCCCCGTATTTCTATTCCTCTTTCCCTTCCACTCCCCACCCCTGCCTTTATACCCAGAGCACAGGTGTTAGGATTTTCTGCAGTCATGTGAGTGGTTGGGGTACATCGAGAGGGGTAAAGTCAATATAATGAATAAAAACACACAACATGCATAGAAAGAACCACATAAAGCCTAATTTAAAACACACAATCCCTTTTGCACTCACACTTATCAGAAGTGCTTCTTTTCTCTTCTCGTCTAAAGGTTTCCCCAAGATGGAAGCATTCCAGGATTACTTGGGCTTGCCCCCTCCGCCTGTGGGCTTTGGCTTGGCTCTGCCCCTGTCCAGAGGAGACGTGGTGGAGCTGACCAAAGCAGAGGCCAACATGCAGTGGTGGGAGGTACACAGATGCTCACCAACTGTTTTATATGCATAGATTAATTTCTTTGAGACTTACAACAGAATAATATGGAAAACTATAAAATATCCATATAAAAGGAACCCAACTCTTTGAGAGGGGTTGGACGCTTCATTTGTCTGGCGTTTCTTGCGGGGATAAGCGGCGAGCGGGGGCAGCCATACCCATTGCCCCCCATCTCAGCCGCCACATGTTGGAGTTCTCCCGGTTGAATGAGAAGGTCGCGCCCCTCCGCCTCCAAGTGGGGGACAAGTCTCTCACTGTTGTGACGGCCTACAGGCCAAACAGCAGTGCAGAGTACTCAGCCTTTTTGGAGTCCTGGGGAGGGGTACTGGACAGTGCACCGACCGGGGACTCCGTTATTTTTCTGGGGGACTTCAACGCCCATGTGGGAAATGTCAGTGAGACCTGGAGAGGAGTGATGGGGAAGAACAGCCCCCTGATCTTAACCTGAGCGGTGTGCAGTTGTTGGACTTCTGTGCTAGTCACAGTTTGTCCATGACAAACACCATGTTCGAGCACAAGAGTGTCCACCAGTGCACATGGCACCAGGACACCCTAGGCCGGAGGTCGATGATTTGTTGTCGTATCATCCCGAGTGTCTCGGACACTTAAAAGGAGTCCTATCAAGCCATGATTGTTCGTGGGACTCCTGAGACAGCTGTCCAGTATTGGCTGGCCAAGCGTGCCACGGCATGGATTGTTGCAGAGGCAAAAACCCGTGACTGGGAGGAGTTTGTGGAGTCCATGGAGCATGACTATCGGTCGGCCTCGAAGAGATTCTGGCAAACCATCCGGCGCCTCAGGAGGGGGAAGCAGTGCTTTGCCAACACCATGTACGATGCAAGTGGAGAGACCGATGGTCGAATCTCGGATTCAGGAGGAGAAGGAACACTGGACCAGCTCTATACTCTCCATTGGATACTCGAGGGTTCATGGGAGTTCGCCCAACCTGTCTACATGTGCTTTGTGGATCTGGAGAAGGTGTTCCCCGGTGTGTCCTTTGGGGGGTTGTCCGGTAGTACGGGGTCCGGGGTCCTCTGCTGAGGGCCGTCCGGTCCCTGTATGACCGGAGCCAGAGCTGTGTTTGCATTGCCGGCAGTAAGTCAGACCTGTTCCCGGTGCATGTTGGCCAAGGCTGCCCTTTGTCACCAGTTCTGTTCACTGTCTTTATGAACAGAATTTCTAGCCGCAGCCAGGGGTCGGAGGGGTCCGGTTCGGAGACCACAGGATTTTGTCCCTGCTGTTTACGGAAGATGTTGTTCTGTTGGCTCCAACGAACCAGGTTCTGCAACATGCACTGGGACGGTTAGCATCTGAGTGTGAAGTGGCTGGGTAGCTTTGGGTAATAACCGAAAGAACAAGATCACGGATACAAGCGGTCGAAATGAGCTTCCTCCGCAGAGTGGCTGGGCGCTCCCTTAGAGATAGGGTGAGGAGCTCGGAGACGAGCTGCTGCTTCTCCACGTCGAGAAGAACCAGTTGAGGTGGCTCGGGCATCTGTTCAGGAGGCCTCCTGGACGCCTCCCTGGGGTAGACCCAGGACACACTGGAGGGACTATGTCTCTCAGCTGGCCTGGGAACAGCTTGGGGTCCCCCCGGACGAGCTGGAGGAAGGATAGGGAAGTCTGGACGTCTCTGCTTGGACTGCTGCCCTTGCGACCCAGCAACGGATGAAGTGGAAGAAAATGGATGGATGGATGGAAAATATCCATTGGTGATTATACGCAAGCAAAGTGCACTTCATGGATATCAGAGTGCAATAGGAGAATTAATATCATGTGATCACTGCTTGGTTTAATCAGTACTAATATATGTCTTGTGTACCTTGGACAACGAGGCAAAACTCTGTATGTGCAGCACGTGTAGACCCCAAAAGACTCGCTTCTGTGATGACATCAGAGGGGTTTCCACAAATTATTCACTTTTTCTGCTGTATGCAGAGAAATTGAGAAATACCAAATGCACTAAAACAGCAATTCTGCTTTTAACTGCTATAAACGGTAATTTTCAACTCAAAACAAGAATTCTTCTTTTTGGGTCCACTAGGTATATTTTGATATTATTTTAATTATATACAAAAAAAAGTTATAATTGTTTTCTTTTTATGTTATTTTATTTAGTATATCTACTTTAAATTAGTATCTAGTTTCAGTTTAGTTTTTGTGTCAAATCAATTAATATTAGGGCTGGGTCCCGATTAAAAAAATTAATCTAATTAATTAGAGGCTTTGTGATTAATTAATCGCATTTTAATCGCATAAAATATTTGTCCTGAGAAATGAGAAGTAATTTTTTTTCACATGGATTTTTAGTTTACCATTGAATAATGACTGAATACATAAGCTTAAGCAACACATGTTCATTGAGGATGATAAGGGGATCAGACGGACTTCTTTCCCATCAAATAACGTACAGTATCTGTCATCGCCACAACATACGCATTTTTAAGCCCAAAATCCACTGCGAGTGAGCACTAAAGCTTATAATACGTTTTTGATGTGTGCATTCGAACTAAAACATCAGCAATAGCAGCTCACACCTGTGTCGCTGCTCCTCCTCCACCTCCTTCACCTCCGCTCACACAGGAGTCGCTCGCTGCTCCTCCTCACACACAGAGTCCATAGCTCCATACACAGCGCTCTTTCCCGTCTCTAACTCACTGGGATTTAGACACCGCTAAAGTTGGTCTGTGCTTGTTATAATGTACTTTTGAACAAGAAAAGTCACGGAGCTCAAGTTGGTGCTCCAGTACAAATGGCCCGCCTGAAACTCATCCAGTGAGCAACGTTCCGCGGTGGAAAAAACACATGCGATTAAAATGCGTCCTTTTTTTTTACGCGCTAATTTTTGTGTCGTTAATAAATCGTAAATAACACGATAAAGTCCCGGCCAAATTATTATCTGATGATACTTTGACAACTCTAGTATGACTGCTGCTGGGATTAACAAAAATAGCAATATCATGTGTCATTTTTCTTGCTTTCACATTTTGTATATGCATGGTTTGTGTTTCCTTATGCTGTGCCTGACCATGTGATTCCAGGGCAGAAACCTGACGTCAGGGCAGATAGGCTGGTTCCCCAACAGCAAAGTGCAGCCTTACCGCTCAGTAAGTGTTAAACATGTACCAACACAAATGAAAAGCGGGTTGCATAAGTGTTTGGACCCCTTCAACTGTTTGACATTTCCCCATGCAAGAAACACAAACATATACTGTATGTATTTAATTTAACTTCCATGGGAAAGACAGACGTTAAGAGACACAAATTAACTTAAATGTCATTTATTTTATAGAAAAGTAGGGTAGTATCCACAAGTATCCAACCCTTTCCTCTTTGCACTCGAACTAAAACATCAGCAATAGCAGCTCACACCTGTGTCACTGCTCCTCCTTCGCCTCCTTCACCTCCGCTCCCACACAGGGGTCGCTCACTGCTCCTCCTCACACACAGAGTCCATTGCTCCATACACAGCGCTTCTTGCCAACCAATTGCCTATAGAGATGTGGCATGATGATTTCTAAATTATCACATGTTGACCTATTATTAAATAGAACCCACCTCTGTATGGGCTAATCTAATCTCAGTTCAAATACAACTTCTCTTTGATGGTCTCAGAAGTCTGTTCAGAGATCTGGTAGGGGTTTGGCACAACTGCAAATCTACCAAGGCCCCTTTTAAATGGAGGCGCTCTGCAGACCTTGCAAAGCTATTGACAGAAATGACCAGGCATGTTGAATGGATGACCCATTCAACATGTGTGGTCAGATGAGTCCAGAATGGAACTTTTTGGCAATGTATATCACTTTACATTACATCCACTCCAGCAGACTGCAGGGCTGCTTTTCTTAAGAAGGGACAGGAAGAGTGTCAGAATTGACGGGAAAATGGATGGAGTTAACACAGGACAACGTTGGAAGAACATCTACTGAACTCTGCAAAACACTTAAGGCTGGATGAAGTGGATGTTTATCTACCATCAGGACAATTTCCCTAAGCATTATGTTTCACCCAATGGAATGGTTTAAAACATAATATATCCATGTGTTAGAATGGTAAAGTCAAAGTCCAAACCTGAATCCAATTGAGAATCTGTGGAATGATCTAAAACAGCAGTTCACACACTCTCCATCTCATCATTTAATCTAGCTGAGTTTGAGCTGTTTTATGAAGAATGGGAAAACTGTGCATTCTCAAGATGTGGAAGAATGTTAGAGACTTACATTCTAACAGACTTGCAGCAAAAGGCAGTTCCACAAAGTATTGACTTTGACTATGTATACATTTCATTTCACTTCAGGACTATGCATGTCCCATAGTATGTTTCTTTCACATGACATTTAAATCCAATATATTTATGGTGTGGTTCTAGCATGGCAACATGTCAAATAGTTGATGGGGTGTGGATACATACTATATTTCATACTCAACTCTGTGTCCCCCAGAGCCCGACTCCAGACCTGTCTGCTTTCAACTGGTGAGTATGGCATTCACTGACCCACTCGGAATCACATTGCTTGAAATCAACAAACCTTTCATTCTGACAAATGAGAAACACTATACTTTGAGCTCACATGATTCTAAATGCAGTGAATTATTGGATTACTTTAAAACAAAATATGAAACATTGGCCTTTTTGTATTGGAGACACAAAGTATTATGCATGTTCTTACACCCACAAACCTTCCACAGGACATCTGGGAATGTCAGATAGTGGAAGATTGTTACAGTGGTGTCATGTGTAGTGAGCACAGTTGTGGTTTAAGGTTTGCAGGGAACATGGACCGGGGCGAGGCCAAGAGCCTGCTCACGTCCCGCTCGGATGGGACTTTCCTGGTGCGACAGAAGGATGGGGGAGAGTTTGCTATCAGCATCATGTAAGTCCAACTTAGCACATCAGCACAATGCTAATGCTGAATTTCCCACTCAAATCTGAAAATAGATTTTTGGTAAGCGCTCACTTTAATGAATCTCTCTTTGTCAGTGTTGTACAGACATTTGGCCATAATAATGATTAAAAAAACAAAACTATGACAGCCTACAGTGGGGTGCCCAGATTTGTCCCATGCTTGGGAAGATGAACTATCTCCAAAAGACATAGTTACATCTAAGATAGTCCCAAAATATCTGTGACTAAATATTTGCTTTACTTTATTTTCCTTTTTCAAATACAAAAGGAAAGAGGGCAGAGCAAAATGTATTTGTAATGGCTGCACTGTAAACACTTCTGTAGCTTGTGTATGAACTGTGCTATGCAAATAACCATGCCTTGCCTTACAGCTTTTATGTGTGACTTCCGTTCTTTAAATAAGCTGATGTATCGGTTATGTCGAGGAAAAGAAGTTAACCCTTGTTTAGTTTCCTCTCAAATATGAATGTGCCAGCAGGAAGTTACTGCAGATCATATATATTGTTACGTGGCCACGGGGCTAATACAGAGTTCAACCAAGTAGTAGCTTCCTGCGTCTTAGCTGCTAATGCAAAGTGTGCACCTGGGGCGGGCCTTCCCCGAATCTTCATCAGTAGCTGTGATTCTGTTCTTCACTGCAAAGGGTGCAAAGCTTCCCACCCTGAAACATTTCTGCCTAACTATTGTCCCCGTTTTAGAAAGTAGCAATAGCATGTCCTTGGAAGATGTTATATTTCTGCTTAGCTGTTAACTTCCCATGAAGGGAATATTGTTTACCAAATGTGGCTAAATGTATCAAAATAGAGAATCAAGTTTGTGGGACTGTACGTGTGTGCCTAATATCCTGACAGTTAAGCCATTGTATAATGTTTTTTTTATTAGTTGACTGTTGAAAATATACCTCTATTGTTTAAAGCTGGATATCTTTCAAATACTCGCCAGTGAGGATGTTTTTTTTTTTACTTTTCTGTGTCAAAAAGCTGATTAAAAGATGTGACAGAGGCCAAATAAACACACATGTGAAACTAGTGATTGAAGCAAACTGGTCCTGGAACTAGTGGCATAGATGTTATAATAGTTGCTTTTTTACAGTTGAAAATTATACAAAGCTCAATCAAATGGTCAACGAGTCATATTTGTTTTAGTCTTGGAAAACTTATTTTTGTACAATGAGAACTGCAGAGCCTGGAAATGTCTTCTTCTTCTTCTTCTACTACTATTTAATTCCGGCAGGCTGTACGCTGGAGTGCGCAATGCTGCCCTCCACAGTTATGAAACCGTCAGTACTCTAAATTTTCAAAAAAGTGCCTGTGCGGCGGAGGAATAAAACAATGGCTCTATTAACTCCTTGAGTGTTTTCACGATTTGAAAAAATTGACTTAAATGAAAAGGAAGTTAGCCCCAAATCAGCCAATTCCACAAAAAGTTGTTGTCGTTCCTTGGTGTATTTGCTGCATGAAAACAAGATGTGAGAAACAGTCTCCAATGTCCCACAAGTGCACAGTCCATCTGCATGTTTACTTATTCTATACAAAGAAGCTGCAAGTCCACAGTGCCCCAGTCTGATTCTAGTGAGAACCACTTCCCCTCTACGCCCCTCAGCTACAGGCTGCCAACTATTTTGGACTGACGATTGACATGAATAATAGAGTCTCCCCCTGGTCTCCCTCTCCCACTCTTTCTGCCACTGACTTTGACAATGCTTTTTACTAAGGCTGTAACACTCTTTTTTCCCCAAATGAAGATGATAATCTATGGTGTCTCTATGAAGTCCTGTAAATGTCATTCATCTGTAAATAAGTAAATACTAAATCATGTGCAATACTGCAACTTCAGAATGTCCACTGAACTTTGTCACTACCTTATCTACTTATTATCCTGTCCTATATGTACACTATATAACTCCGTGCTACATATATATATATATTTTTTTTTTTTGAAAGACTGGAATTAAAGCTTATACCGCATTTACAGCTAGTTAAGAAACATAGCTACCACTTATTTTGTATTTTTGTATGTGCTCCCTGTGTGCTTTTACTACTGTCCTGTATATGCACTGCAACATTGAAATTTCCCCATTGTGGGACGAATAAAGGATCTCTTATTTTATCTTAAAAGCAAACACTAATTTAATCCCATTGAGTTGAGTGAATGTGAATGGTATTCTTAGTATTATTCTTTGTTGTGACCGTAGGTTCAACATGGATACTCGGCACATAAAAATCACATCATCTGATGGCCTGTTCCGCATCAATGACAAGAAAGCCTTCAAGGGACTGACGGTACGTGTTTGTGCTTATAGTCCGGCAAGTACTGTATGTTTTCGTTTTTCTTTCACACTTTAGTGTGATGTAAAGCAAGTGCCCCATCAATTTGTTTCCACAATTTTGTCCGATTACAACCTGACACTTGTCACAGTGACGTGAACATGGGAATTACTTTGGCTTAAACTTCAGGGTTGAATTTTTGGCCCTGGCATCGCTCAAAAGTGTTTTCCAGAGTTTTCGAGACTAAAACAGCATTACTACTGTCCTTTGTGTGCTTTCAGGAGCTCATCGAGTATTTCCAGCACAACTCTCTGAAGGAGTGTTTCAAAGACATGGACACCACTCTGAGATGGGGGTATAAGCAAGCCGAGCAGATCGCCCCCTACAGCCCAGCCAACAATGCTCCAGGTACACAATTTTTTATTTTTTTATATTTTAATTATGTGAATAAACATGAATTTATGATAAATATAAATAAAGCAAAAATAATAATTAAAAGTATAAATAAAATAAAATCTATGTATTTGGAATACAGGTACTACAGCAGTGTCTCCCAAAGTGGGGTCCGCGGCCCCCTGGTGTTTTATATAATTATTGTATGTTAAATTAATAATATTTTGTTTGTAAAATTGAAATATTTGTGTTCATTATTTACTTGAATAATCAAATTATAATATTTTTTGTAATACAAAATGGGGTGCGTCATGTACATGTTTGTAGCAGAGGCTATTTCCTCCTAATAAAATAACGAGAAGATATGGAGGACCGTGGCTGCCAAAACAATAAATATATACAGAAATAAATAAATAAATACATTTTTAAAAGATAAAATTTGCAAAGAAATGCATGCAATTATGAGAATAAGTGCATTTATTTCTGTATTTATTTATTTATATATTTATTTATATATTTATTTCTGTATTTATTTATTTTTGTATTTATTCATACATTTATTTCTGCATTTATAAATTTATTTCTCTATTTCTCTATTTATTTATTTATTTCTCTATTTATTTATTTTTGCATTTATTTATTTATTTCTCTATTAATTTTTTTCTCTATTTTTTTTTTTCTGTATTTATTTCCGTATTTCTCTTAATGATATGCAAGTCATGGGTGGGCTGGGATGCCTCTGCTGAAAGCTCATTGGTTAATCTTTTTCCTTGCTCCATAGCTTGTCCAGCATAGGCGGTCATGTTGAGATCACCACACTCCCCTCCACACTCGCGCCACCCTTTGTACCATGAATATGGCTCGGTCAGTGCTGTGGCCGCGTCCACTTTTCAGTCTCTCTCAGCCTTCACTGAAAGCTCCAGTGTCTGAGTGTAAAACACAGACTTCGAAAGCGGGGTTTTCCGGCGGACTTCAGCGCTTTGTAGTAAAATACACACGAGCACCTGTCACTGCCTTTGCCAAAAGCCTCTCACGAGCCGGACAGGGAAATGAGCATAAAGAGGCCGACATCGTGGACTCTCTGAGCGGAGGATGATCGTTAATACTCCTCTATCATATCAGCTATGTTTTATTTTGTGCCCAGACAACATTTGTATAGTGGCTTCTCGTGGTTATACGGCGTATACCTGCGTATCGCGTAGGCTACACCACTGATTGTAGAGCAGTGGTGTTTGTGCACCCCAAAGCGCCCTAATATTTTTGGAATTTGACCTGTTCTCTTACAGTACTTCTTTTCATGTTAATAGTCTGAAAAGAACTCAACAAGCTATGGAGCAAGGAAAAAGATTAACCAATGAGCTTACAGCAGAGGCATCCCGGCCCACCCCATGACTTGCATATCATTTAGAGAAATACGGAAATAAATACAGAAATAAATACAGAAATAAATAAATAGAGAAAAATAAAAATACATAGAGAAATAAATAAATAAATGCAAAAATAAATAAATGCAAAAATAAATAAATAGAGAAATAAATAAATAAATTGAAAAATAAATAGAGAAATAAATAAATAAATAAATAAATAAATAAATAGAGAAATAAATAAATAAATACAAAAATAAATACAGAAATAGAGAAATAAATGTATAAATGCAGAAATAAATGTATGAATAAATACAAAAATAAATATATAAATAAATAAATACAGAAATAAATGCACTTACTCTCATAATTGCATGTATTTCTTAGCAAATTTTATCTTTTTTAAATTTATTTATTTATTTCTGTATATATTTATTGTTTTGGCAGCCACGGTCCTCCATAAGAAGAGCCTATTTTTAACGTTGTCTTCTTGGTTATTATTTTGGGGGGCCGCGAAGACCCGTCAGATTTTTAAGGGGGCGGTGTTACTGACTTTGGGAATGGCTGCTATATAGAATAAATTTGGGTCATGTATACAGTATTATGGAACAGAAGTTTTCTACCAAACACTGGCAACGGCCTATATAGCAATTTACATTTGTTGTTCACTAAATTCCTATCTAGTAAAAGATGAGCGAGAGACTTATGATGTTTTGAAGGTGGAAACTCCCGGAATATGGGTGCAGCCAGAGCCCGGTACGACTACTCTGCCCGCGACCGCACAGAGCTCAACCTGCGAGAAGGAGACACCATCAAGATCCTGTCCAAGAAGGGCCACAGCGGCTGGTGGAAGGGCGAGGTTTACGGACGGGTAAGCAGCCAGTCACTATATGCTTGAATTTTCAAACCACAACAATTATTCTCTGTAATCTAATCTAGTTAAAGGAATAGGCCACCGTTTTTACATAAGGACATATGTTCTTACCTTACCTTAGACTAGTTGATATGTACTTGTGTGATCTTTGTCCGTGCGCTCTGTCATGCAAACGGAGCACAAACGCAGCCTCTTCCACAGACTGTGTAGTACCAAATCAGCTCCCGTTAGAAGCTACCAACTCTTTAAATACAGTTACGTGACGTGTTGCACTACAAAGTATAGTAACACAGAAATGTAACACGTCGATTTTCTCAGCGGATAAATAGGGGTACTATATTGTGAGGCGTAATAATACGAGAAGCGCTATGTCCGCGCACTAACTCCAACAAGTCACGCTGCTTCTATTGACGGAAGGGAGCGGGAGTGAAGTCTTTGGGTGTTAGTCAGGCCCCTTGGACATCAGAAAAGGGGGAAAATCCATACCAACAGGCACATTTTTTAGATAATCTTTTTCAGACAGAAAGGTGAAAAAGATACTCACCCAATCAGCTCTCACTCCAAAGAGTCAAATAGTTAATTAGAGCTTTTCTCTTGCAAGAATGTAAAAGATAATATATTTTCTAATATGTTGGTGACTGCATGTTGTGGTCTGATTTTTTAATGAGTTCATAAAGATGTGTATTACTACAAACAAGTTGTATTATAATCCGTAATTCAATTGAAAACTTGAGCTCATTGATTCAGCTTGTGTATGAATTAGATAAAATAAAACTAGATTGCTCCGTGGGATGAGAGCATAGGGGAAATGAGAAGCCTGTGAGCAAGTAGGGGGGCGGTGCTAAACATTCAAACATTGCAGAAACAGGTATACAGTAGCTCCTTTAACAAGACTCTTTTTTTTTTTTGGACAAACCAAATATACTTTAATGAATATATAAACTGAAAGGTAGGTACTATACTTTGCGTACCCAGGGGAATTGTTTCTCTTTACCATTTAACACTTAAAAACTTAATTATAACTTAATTCTACTTTGGTACTTCATGAATAAGTTAATACATTTCAAATATCATAGTGTACAAAATAACCAGATTAAGTATTTTTTCAAAGAACATACCTGCACGTTAATAATTCACCCCTAAAGGTAACTGTAATCTTTTTACAAGAATAAGTCAATTTACCTGATTCCCTGTTGGCACTTTGCAGATCGGCCTGTTCCCTTCCAACTACGTGGATGAGGATTATTCAGACTACAGTTGAGGACTGGAGTACTCTTAAGGGATGCTGGATTAAAATATATACACTTCTGACCTGTGTGTTGATTTAACCTTGTGTTGTTACTATATGGTTCTAGTTTACCTTAACTAGTGCAGTTTTGCATATTTCTCCTTTTATTCCAATTGTCGAGGGTGGAAGAGAAGCCAAACTTACAGGAAAGTGAAAGGGGGCATCTTCCTCGCGCTCTCTGATCACTGGGAGACTGCTGATGTGGTGTGCCTCAGTTTCAATCAAACTTCAAAATGAAGTGCCATGGCTTAATCCTCTTTATTTTTCACATGAGGAAACACAATTATGCTCCTTTTATTGGCTACATGTTAAGATTGGCACACATGATTGGCCCACTCTGGTTTCTCCTCTTCTGAACCTGAAGATACCCTGATTCTAACCAGAGTTACTGTGTGGAGTATGTTAGTGCAGTGACTGACAAACAGCTGAACCTAAAGAGTTCTGAGTTAACTTAACCTGATCTTACAGCCATCCAAAACCAAACCAGCTTCTAGCAATAGGCATCAGGTTGGGCCTTGATGTCCATATCTCAGATAAAATGAAACACTTTTCTTTCCTCATTGTTTGTGATTGACCGTTGTCAAATAAAAGTGTTTTTATTATTGGAGGTCTCCATCCCCCAGTTCTCAATTCTTGGGTTTCCTTAAACTGGCCAGTAGGGGGCGAATGAGCAGAGGTGGGACAACTCAGTTTTGCTCCCATTGAAAACCATGTAGTCTGTTTTGGAGTCAAAAGGCTGTCATCCTGTGCGGTGTACAGTTGTTGAAACAGTCTTAATGGGGAGGGGGACACTCAATTCTAAGGGAGTACTAAAAAATATTTCTCAAAAAAGACTTTATTTTGGGCATTTTTGAAAAAAAAAAAAACAGAAGAAATTGCTGCGTTTCATTTGGGTGGCCTGCAGGGGCCGCTTATCTGGGAAAGCCTTGATCCACCTCCCGCCTCATTCGAGTGACTTTTTCAAAGAAACACTTGTCTTTCTCTCTATTCGGGCGGTTGCTACAAGCGTACACCGCACAAAAAGATGGCATTTTGACAGCGCTTCTTCTACTATATCTTTGTGTATAAACCCGGCAGACTGCACCACCAAGGTACGTCACGTCCTGTCCTACGTTTGTTTTTCGTGCCACTGCTTTGACGTCATATGAAACCCAAGAATAGCATATTTCCCCTTTAACATTTAGAACAGCTTGGACCCTTTTGTTGTAGTCCTCTGATGGTGAAACTTCTTAGCAAAAAGCCTCCAATTCCTGTTCATTCCTGAATCGTCCTGCATGAATTGCACAGCACAATTGACCTCATAATTTGAAAATATAAACATGTTTATGAGACAATATATGGCTACACACAACCACTAACACTGAGTGGGAGCAAAAGGTTAGTGTTAGCATTAAAGGCGCTATACCCGTTGCTGCAATGTTTGAATGTTTAGCACCGCCCCCCAACTCGCTCAATGGCTTCTCATTTCCCCTACGCTCTCATAACACAGAGCCACCTAGTTTTATTTGCGATCTGATACATATGCTAACATTAGCATTAGCGCAACTTCTTGTAAGCTGTACAACAATCACCGATGAAATGGCACTAAAGCAACGCACTGCTAACACAATATATAAGTAAAAGAATACCGCTAGTTTCGCGTCCGAATGTATTAATTTAAAAACCTTAGAATATATTCTAATATTTAATTATAATTTGTTATAGAGCTCCTCAAAGCAGCAGCAGCAATTCTTCCGATCATTTTTTTCTTGATAACAGAACTCTCAAACCAATAATGACCGAAGCCCCAATGCAACCTCTGTTTGTAATTCAGGTGTGTAAAAATACTGCCATTACTCTGCAAGAACAAGCTATCAGCGCCTGTCACTATACACTTGTCTGTGTAGAGAAGCCAACGGAGCTAGCGGAGCTAGCCACGCTCAATAAACAACTACATATCTATCAATCAACACCATTAAACGTCAATCGGACAATACAGTACACATATACATCCTTAACACACATGCACGGATGATTTCTGAATTTGCTGTTAACGTTTTCATGACAAAAATACTGTTTCAATGTGACAAAAAAGCGATTGCGAAAAACCCGGAAGTTACCATGAAACAACTAGCTAGCTTAGCTGTTACCTGCCTAGCACGTCCCGGTGAAACCTTTGGGAGCTAACTATTTTATTTGCAGTCATTAAATACATTTCAAATTACAAGGGTTGTCTAAGATTTGTTCACATTTTTTATTTTAGAATTATATTCGAATTTTGAAGTGGAAGCCCTGGTGTTAAGCAGCGCTGTAGAGGCTAGAGGACGCAGGCTGGTCACTTCTTGTTCTGTGAGCGGAGGAGAAAGAGCGGCCCGCTCAGACTCTACTCAGCACTTTTCACTGCTTGTAATTCTTACACAGCTGAATCAATTACCTCAAGTTTTCAATTAAATGATGTATTATGATACAACTTGTATGTAGTAAAAAGCATTTTTATGAACTACTTAGAAAAAAAATCGGGTATAGCTTCTTTAAGGATCTCAGTTGAGCAAATACGTTTTTAGGAGCTTGGGCAAGTTGTCCCGAGTCCTTATTTTTAATAATATGTACATATCACATAAGAGTGAAACAATATCCAGGAAATCACATTGTATGATTTTTAAACAATGTATTTTCATAATGGGGCAGAAATGCTAATATTTGGTTAAAAATAAATTTATAAAAACAAACAGCTCCTGGCCCTTTCGCAGAAAGCTGCCCCAAACAATTTCCACCGGTTACAGTGGGTATGGTGTACTTGGGCTGCAGTGCCAAAAGGTCCCCTTCTGAAGTCAGCTCATATCCAGGCCCGTCTAAAATTGACCATCTGGATAATCCAGTAGAGACCTGTGAGAACATCACGTGTTTTTAATCAAAATAGTACTTTAGGTCAAAACTCAAATTGTTGTGGAGGGAGAAGTTGCATCTTATGGGTGACTTTGCATGATCTGCAATGTCAATTACTAATTTTCCCAATTGACTTGTTCTGATGATCCATAAAACTTGATATTCTTTTGATTTGTAATAAATAATACCATTTTAGGTAAATATCAATTTTAATTTAAAAATACATATATATAAAAAAAAAAAAAGACAATGTTTGAGCCTCTTTCTAAATGCCAGGTCAATCTATGCATGTACTGTATGGAGAGCTGCAAAATTACAGAAGGGAAATCCACCAAAAACGATACTCAAAATATGACATATTTAGACTACACCCACACTTTTGTGGTTTCGGTTTTAAAAGTTCCAAAAATCACAAAAATATTCTGTTTATCCAATGACATGTTTTTAACTTGTGCAGCCCGTTGTGTGAATATTTGTGGTCCAGACGGCTTCAGGAATCTACTGGTAATACAACTCCAGATTCATCCCATCATGGATTTCATCTGAGTACAAAAGCTGTTAAGGCCAAATGTTTGGAAATGTTGAATTCATGTAAAAAAAAAAAAAATACATATACACTTGCACACACTTAACAGTGTTACTCAGACTGAATAATAGGACAATAAAGAGATGTTGAAAGGATACAGTCATCCAGAGACACGTGGTCCTTGAATATGGTGTACCTGCAGACATAAGTGATGGAGAAAAATTTAGTTGGAACACTGGTATTGCTTTACGCATGCTCTAACATACACATACCATTTCTTTAACACGATTTTATCATATCGCGTGCCTGTCTGAGCAGCGATGAGCTTCTTCAGGTCCCCAATAGTGTCCTCTGGGCTGGAATGCAGGGATGAGGAAAAGGACTGGAACACAATTTTACAGTGGAGAAAAACTACATCTGAGAAGAGCCATGTTAACAGTTGCTGCAAGAAATGATGTATAATTATTATTTATAACTGGACTATTTCAGGAATACCACTTGGGGGCAGTTAAACTTTGTCCATTTAAAAAAAAAAAAATCACATTTTCCTCTTTTTGCAAATATTACGCGTTCGCACACAATAGGGTATGTGGGGTACACAATGTTTGCGGGATTAACCAATGACCATACAATTCCTGGATCATCATTGTCCCTAGACCCTACTGCATCGGCAGAAAAACTCAGTGGGAGAAAACAGAGCCTCAGGGAGGCCCACAGAGTAAGATGGGATACATCCATTTGCGACATGATCATTTCCATAGTTAAGTGAAAAATAAAAGTTCTTGGCAACCACTATTCCAAGATTCCAGTAATTAGCAATTAATAAAATTAATTTTAGTAATTACTAGGACATGAGCTCTCCAGGCTGTTAGGAGCTCCTAATTACAGTTAATTATGATATGAATCCAGGTGTCAGAGAAATTGTGTTTGTCAAGAACATTAATTTACTTAATTAAATTAATTTAATTTAATTTAATTGTAACAAAGAAAATGATCATGTCGTGAATAGGTTTATTCACATGGTTTGAGTGATAATAGAAATTAAAATTTTATAGGAGAATTTTCTACTTCCGGGTGGATCATCAAGACTATGGGTCCTCCCAATTGTAATCATTCTGGGGATACGTGCTCGTCAAATAAGACCAGAGAGTTTTGTTCAAAAAGTTCTAAAATTTGGGAAAGACCTCTTATATACCTTTAACCTATTAATTGAGGCAAAGCTTTCTAATCAAAGCCTTATTGTAATTAATGTATTGGTCCCACTGATGTCTGCTGTCGTTGTGTGTGTGCCAGGCGGCTAGCAGACCAGTGTCAGCAGCCGTCAGGCGGGTGAATAGACAGACTTTAAAACATCCACACATCAAAGGATACTTGCATTTCACCCGGACTTTTTTTCCGAGACGGTCGTTACACACCACCTCGATCATGCTGTTTTCTGTGAAGCAAAGAATTAACATTAGCACGCAGGCTTAACACAGGCTAACTACATGTTATCCCATAAAAATACACCTTGCGTTGGCTAAACCCCAGCTAAAGGGCTAAACCCCAGCTAAAGGGCTAAACCCCAGCTAAAGGGCGAATAATAATGTGTGTAAATAGCAAGTTACCTGCGGTGCGAGCCCGAACACGACGGAAAGTGTATTTTCTGGGACGTTTTCACTTCAACCGCTTACCGTAAAGCAGATTCAGTGAGTGTTTTGATGGCTTGCCAGTCAAATCCTGCCTTCTGTAAATGACGGCTCTCTCGACCTATGAGCGACGAGCCAAAGCAAACAGGAGGGTCAACTCTTTCCGTAAAGTGCTGCTGCAGCCGATCACTGTCGCGAAAGGCAAGAAGCTGCTGAATCCAACGTTGGACTTTCACGGGCAAAAAGCTTACTTTGTGATCCGTGTTTGAGTTAAAGTCATGGCTGATGAGGAGAACTTACCGCAGGGCTGGGAGAAGAGGATGAGCCGCAGTTCAAGTACGTCCGAGCAAAGAAAGAACTCATCCAGACATAGTGTTAGCTTAGCCTAGCATCCATGCGCTTTTCATTCCGGGAGAAGCTTGGAGTCTCTGACGCTGTGGGCTGACTGCTCGCGTTGCAGCATGTATGTGCCATAGGGTTTATGTGTATACTGCTATGACTGGTGCATTTATGCTGTTTTTTCCGCGGTGTATTGGCGCCATGCATTGTACTGCAAGGCCCGATGATGTCAGCTGCAGAGGGAGGGCGTGCACGTGCCGCAGGTTCTGTCCCATATCTGTCCATTCTAGAAAAGATGAGAAGGATCTCACACTGGAGAAATTTACTTGTCACATTTGGCATAGAATCTCTCAGATTGTGCAACAGACAGAAGTGTGCAAACATGTTAAAGGTTAAAAAAGGCCCACAAAAACCGTAACTCAGTAAATGTAGTTATGAGATAGTTCTCAATACAACACACTGAACGTGAAAGCACGCAGGCAACATCTCTAGGTCTATTTGTCCTCTACATTAATTTTGAACGAAAATTGTGACGCTTTTTACTGTGCATAATAGAGTTGTTTTCAAAGATTGCATTTTTTGTAGACCCTAGGTCTATGGTATTTAAATCATGAAAACGGTATTTCATTTGATATAGCTAAATGTAAGAGCTTTTTTAAAAGCTTTACATTTGACAGCATTTGGGCATTCCATTATACAGTTGGTGGCGTTTCATGTTATGGTACGCCACATTGCCTGTTCTTTGAAAGGTGTGTATTTAAAAAAAACTCGACTGATGTCAGCACAATCTTTTCACACTAGTGTTGTCAAAGCTGCCTATATATATATCGTTGTCAATACTGAAATGTGATACTATGTGAGAATCTCTGCTCCCAGGTGGATCATCAATACTATTGGTCCTCCTAATTGTCGATCATTCTAGTGATATGTGCTCATCAAACAAATCCAGGGAGTTTTATTTTTAATTATTTTTCAAAAAGTTGAGTGGGGAAATTTGGGAAATGACTCCTATATACCTTTTTAATGGAAGGAGGTCTATTGTGTCGTTCCATCTTGTGTTATTAATGATTATTTTGATACATTGATTCAATTTGTTGTTCAGAACGCAGATAAGATATTTTACCTGAATTTGATTTACAGTTTATCAATTTGAAATGACGCTAATTGAAGACAAACAAAAATGTTTGTTAAATCGAGACTTAAACACACGTTTAAAAAGTAGGTGTTGGAAATCAACGTTTATTTTTAACGTAAATTCATATCTGTGTGCTGGTAAGAAGATCTCTGCACATGCATGTGTTTATGTCTGCATGGAGCAATTGAAGACTATTTGATTACTAAAATGTTTAACAGAAAACGTTATTAGGAGTGATTAAGAGTTATTTGTTACAGCTTCAGTTTTACCCAAAGCACTTAGTGAAAAAGCTTTGATTTGGATCATAAAGAGATGGAAGACCAGTTTGTTTGTTTTTACCTTATTATTTCTACAGTATTTTGCAGCTTATTGCAAATTTTTGTTGATCACTTTTTGCTCTGTAGGCAGAGTGTACTACTTCAACCACATCACTAACGCCAGCCAATGGGAGCGGCCCTCTGGAGACGGCTCCGGGGAGCCTGATAAGGTAACTTGGAAAATGAAAAAATATTTTTATTTATGAAAATAAATTGTTTGTGATTGGGTTTGATCCTTCAAAAGTAGAAAATGTGTATTATTTGGCTGGGAATCAATAAAAAAAAAAGACTCATATCAATTGCAGATAATCACATTATTTATTTATGTTTCATGCAATAAATGTTATATTTATGATTAAAAGTTTCAAGTGTAGAGCTCGCCTGGTCTTACCATACCATCGTACTAATTTCATTTCATAGGTCTGGATTTGCTCATTTGAGCTCCGGTGGCAGGGGTTAACTCTTTTTGCAGATGGAAACGATTGGATCTGAGTTGGCCGTGACGTATGTAACTAGCCCTAGTTAGTGTGGCATTTAGCTCTTAGCCTAGCTTTAGCCATCTCCTTTAGCCCGTGGGGAGTTGAACTACAACATCTTTGCCAGCAATGAAATTTGCTAAACATTCCTCTTGCTCCGGCTTGAATTTAGAACTTAGAACTTTAGAAATATAGAACTTCCGTTACTGTCTCATTCCCCGCCATTTCCAAACTACAACAACATTTGGTGCAAACTCTTGACGTCACCTACCTTCAACACCCGCTTCCCCCGCTCGCTGAATGGTCGGAGGGGATTCAACCGAGGTAACCGCAGCCACTAAGATTAGACCCAGACAGACATGTAGGGAAATGAGAATTGACCGGAGTTTACGGGTGGCTAAGGCCAGGGTCAATTTGAAATAAAAAAAAATATATAGGTTAATCAATCTTATTTTTTATTTTTTCATGCTGTTTTATTAAATGCCTTAAACTGCTGAAATATTTTTCTCAATACAATAAAATGGAATTAAATTAGTTACAAGTTATGAGATATTGTATCATTTCATACCGTGTGGGGATAGGAAGTGTTCACTCATGTGCCTGCTGCTCAGTGCAGCAGGCTGTAATACTGCTGCAGAGGCTTGCATGTAGATAAGATGCATTATGGATTTGACGCATGGCACATGTATTTTCCAAAACCCGAGCATATAGTCCTGATGCACATGGACAGTATCATGTTCCCTATATGGCTTCATTGAGCTTGCAGGTTGGCAGTGTCATCTACATTGCCCTGTGCACCATGCTCATATGGCTCGCTGGATTGTAGAGCATAATGTCCATTCTTAAGTAAAAAAAGCTTATCTGGTGATTTTTTTTTTTGATAAGACTCACTGCTGCAGCCTTTAAAGCAGCAATTCCATTTAAATTGGACTAAAAGCCAGTTCTCAGATGTCCTCTCTGGTGTTCTTCTTGCATTCTGTGGGTGAGAGCTGCTGCTATTGTGTACAGGTGCGCTGCTCCCACCTCCTGGTCAAACACCAGCAGTCACGGCGGCCATCCTCCTGGAGAGAACAGACTATCACGCGGACCAAGGACGAGGCTGTGGAGCTCATTCAGAGTATGACGAGCACACTCTGTTTTAACTGCACCCCTGTGACATTGACTTTTCCAATGCATTATAGGCACCATACACCACAGACCTTTTTAGACCCTAAATTAGGGTCTAAATGACCCAGGGCTGGTCAAATTAGGAAAAATCTAAAAGGTTGGTGTGCATTTTTTAATCACTATGTTGGGTCAATTCAACCCAAGGGTTTAAAAAAACGATTTCTTAGGGTTGGGACGTGTCCGTTGATTTGATTTTCATCAAAAATAAAATACATTCTGGGCACCTTTCTCGACACTTAGATTTACCTTACAAAGATAAAAGCAAGACAGTTTAAAAGCAAATGTAATAAAAATCTTACTAATGCTTCATCCACTTTTTACCCGCAGAGTACATAGAACAGATAAAGTCCGGAGATGAGACATTGGAGGCGCTGGCTTCACAGCTGAGTGACTGCAGCTCGGCCAAGAACGGTGGAGACCTGGGCATGTTCGGCAGAGGTACGAGACCAATTTGTTCTCATATTTTTAACTAATGTTAATCCTTAAATGCTATGACAAATATGTTTAGTTCAACCTCTTGAACCTCGCTCCCAAAACGTTATGGTGAAAATAACTCAAAAGTCGAACATAACAAATCTAAAACTCATGGAAACTGATCTGGGCATTTTATCTGGACTGTGGACGATTATCTGTTTCGTCAACATTTTCAATATACTTTAGTTTAATTTTTTGTTCTGAAACTATAATCATTTTTTTCACTTTGGCTTTTGTATGTACAAAAAAACATGATTACAAAAAAGTTACATGACCTAATAACACAACCTAAAATGTGAAACTTGAGTTCTCAGACGACACTGCAATTGTGAGTCTGCTGACCGCGGGGGTCTGCCCCTCAATTTACTTCAATGAGGTAGACTCCTTCAAAGTCTGATGTGACAAGCAGAACCTGAACACTGCGAAAACCAAAGAAATGATCTTTGAGTCGAAGACCAAGTTGCACGACTCTCTGCTCATAGATGGAGTGCAAATTGAGCGAGTGGACTCAATTAAGTATCTCGGCCTACATTTGGACAAATATTTTAAATGGTCTAAGGCCGACGCCTTTTGTGCTAAACTGGCCCAGAGGCTACACTTTCGGAGGCGCTTGCGGCTGTTTGGAGTGTTCGGTGTTCTCTCTGTGAAGGATAAATCCAAGATCCAGAGGCAGCAAAGATCATTGGAGTTGAATTTCCCTCCCTCCAGCTGATCTACGAGCAAACTACACTCTCACTGTCTCAAAAAATTGACAGTGACCCCCAACACGCTCTGCACGGGGAATACCAGACCCTGCCATCTGGACGTCACTTTAGGGCTGTGAGACACAGGACAAACCGCTTCAAGCTCTCCTTTGTCCCAACTTCAGTGGAACTTTAAAACAAAAACAAAAATGACAAATAATGAATGTACTCAAACTGATTTTTTTCTTATAAATTTTTGCATTCATTTGTGTTTTTGACCAAACAGAGACTTCAAAGCACTACTGCACTTTCCTGTAATGTTTCTTTTTAATTTTTTTTTTTTTTTCATATATGCAGATCTGTGTAGCACCGTATCCTACAGCAAATTCTTCTTAGTATAAGATAAGAAACTTCATTGTTCTATCATATGGACTAAGTATTTATTTGTACTTTTGTCCTCCCTTGTGAAGTTCTCAGTTTTGAATGTTTTTTTCCAACCAGACTGTGGTTGTGCACATATTTTCTTTTACACGTTTTCCTTCCTCTTAACTGTCTATTAATTAGCTTTGAAACGGCACTTCCAGAACATCCAGCTTTTGCTAATACCTTTTTGAGACTTTCTCTACTTTTATGGACAATGTCATCTGTCACGTCAGCAGTCTTCCCCATGATGGTGAATTCCACTAAACCAGACTGAGACCCTTTTGAAGTCAATTAGCTGAGGGAAGGGTTAGACTTTGAGCCGATATTAGTCCCTCTTCACAATTTGGGTTTTTTCAAGTTGTAAGCTGTAATAATCAAAAAAAGGAAAACGATCAAAAGCTTCACCATATGTCAATTTGCATGCCGTGAGTCCATCCTGTTTTTTTTGTTTTTTTTTCTGCAGAAATAAATGAACTCTTTCACAATATTTAGATCATCTAGCTTTTGTTTGTCGGTACTCTTAATGCTCTGAAGAATCCTCAGGCTATTATGTCATGAGCAGTTCTGTGTTCCACCTTTTTGTTAAAACAAAAGGTTTTTTTTTTTTTCCTTTTAAAATAGACAATGTTGTGTGCCTTCACTTGCATTGTGCCATGTTCAATTTGATCATTTTGAACTTCTCCTTCATGGCACTTGGTATTTCACTATTCCATTCTTTACCCATGATCATATTTATTCATAAATTTTCAAAAAAAGATTCACACTTTCAAACATACTCTCATTATTGTTCTCAATCCTGTTTCAGAGCCAAAAGGAGCTCAAAGGATTCAGCACATGTTTTAACAACGTTTGAGTGAACGTACTATGGGATTGTGTTGTCAGGTCAGATGCAGAAGCCTTTCGAAGACGCCGCGTTCGCTCTCAAAGTGGGCGACATGAGCGGCCCCGTCTTCACTGACTCTGGGGTCCACATCATCCTCCGCACTGGATAGAGCTCAAGTCGCCACAGTCTGCCGAACACCTGGCTCTAAGGCTGAAGGCGCCCGGGACCCTGCCTCACTGCTGCTGCTACGAAAGCCAAACACACTCTACTTTAAAGGGATGTTTACTGCTCCAGGCACATTTCATCACATTCTCCATCCCCAAATTTAAAAGGCAGTAGTTTTTATTCTCATTGACTTGAAACCTATATGAATAGGGCAGGTACCAGGTCTTTGATGGTGCAAAATGTATAACAGTGAATTAAATTTGACACTCAAACTTGAGTTGTCCCTATAGGCTAAAAGGCCTACATTTGTCTTGAGAAAATCTAGAGCTACCCTATAATAATCTTGCATAACATTCTATTTCACTATTCTCAATGGACGTAACAATTGTAATAATTGTTAAAATCATCAATACTTTGTTCAGACTGTTGGCAAAAAAAGAAGAATCCTTAAGAAACAAATCCTATAAGCAACCCTTTTGAGCTGGTCTTCAGATTGAGAATGATTGGTCTAGGGTAATTTCATTGGAGTGACAGGGTTTGGAGATAGTCAAGTGTTGGGTCCAGAATTTGCACACATCTTATGGCTATCGGATGCCTTTTTAAATTGGATGATACAGGTCCCAGAAGGGAACCCCAGTGACATTGTCCTGATGACGAAATGGAACGGTTTCAAATACAGCGTCATGTTTGGGGCTTTCACATCCTCACAACAGAAGCATAGTCCGCCAAAAATGTAGCAAAGGCCATGTTAATTGAACCAAGAGGAAACTCATTAAATAATTGAAATGGCAGATGCTAGTATGAACCCTAGCCCAGATTTTGAAAATGCAGAGACCTAATGTATTTGACCCAACACATTTGATGATCTGATGTATTGACTTTTCTTTTGATGTATAGTTTGGATATTTAAATAAGAAACTTGTGACTATCTAGAGAACAATTGTTCTGAGTGACCCAGGGCCAATGTATGGACCTAGGGAACTGCGTAGGACCATGACTACTACATCTACTTCCATTGTTTATTTTTGGATCTGACAGTTGAACTCATACAATGTTGAGAACCTGGAGCGACATTGATATTCTTAGTCTGACAGTTGTTGCTTTATTTTTAAGAGAGCCCAGAGCATTTTCTTTCATGCATGTTTATTGGGACCATATGTGATAATGAGCTGATCATTTAGCCGCCAAGACAATAGCAAGTCTCCAGTTATACTTTGCATATTCAGCATCAACTCTGTTCTTCCATCGAGCAACGCATGGAAGCCGAAATGTCACCCATGTGCTTCCTTCAAATAAATGATTCTTTTTATAATTTTGTCCGGATACTTGTACTGACAGAGCGCAAAGGTTGGTGTGAGCTCTTGTAAAATGTCTCAAGTCTATTGCCAATTATACGTTAAACTTAATGTGGAAAAATGTTTTGCCTATTTTTGATTTTCTGCATCTGTTAAAACACGTTCCCTGATTACTCGAACCACATTATACAGTCTATAGATGCACCACAGTCGCTCACATTGTATAGATTAACAGTTTGTTCATTTCTATTGCCTCATATCTCATTTTGACTCAACTGGATTACATTGAGGGCAGCATGGATGCTTTGTAAGACTTGCGTAAGTAGATGAGGGTTAGTTCTAATCACGATACCCTTGCCTCTCTGGAGATATGGGTTAAGATCGTGGAGACACAAAATGCTTACCTGCTGAGAGAAAAAAATCAGTCACACCCAGTATGTCTGGTCCAGCTCTCTGGAAGTGAATACTTTACTTGATAAATGCTTGACTTTGGGACACCAGGGGAAAATGAATACAAGAAAAACATGTCTTATTTCCAAACATGAGACTTTGTTGTAAACATCAAACCACAGTTTAATATTCTCTTGTTCTATTATTTTCTGGACTAATGCCTGGAGATTATATGGAGAAGTTCAGTTCTGAACTCCAGATAAATGTTCAGCCATTTTAGAATGTGAATGTATTTATTCTACTATGAGTTGAGTTGCAGTCTGCAGATGTAGATGGAGGGGAGCGGGAATTTTGGACATTCTTCATATCTTGATTTGATGTAACTTTAACACTAATTTTATATGTGTACATTTAATTCAGGGCCATAATATCTCAGAATATCTGAAAATGCTTTCATCACGTGATTTGGAAGACTTGTACTAATCTAAATTGCGTGATATTATATAATATATACAATTTGTGTTCCGATCCAGCTAAAGTTCTGAACCATATTTAATGTTTTTATTGATATTAAATAAGCTTTCAAAATACACCCAGAATGTGGGAATTTGGCTCTATAATGATAATTAAGATTTTAATTACGAACATTTGGGAAGGGACAGCCAGACCCCCATCCCGTGGCGTCAGCTGAACTGAGCAGAGCGAAGGCTGCAGTCCCTCTCCCATCCTGGAGTGGCGCTGTCCACGACGAAGAGCGGATGTCGGGGCTGAGTCTCGCTCATGTCGCTGATGTGATGCCCGCAGAGTTTCTGGATTTCCATCACTTTCCCCATATACGGTGAGAACAGACTAACGCTAAACGAATGCAGACTGAACATAAGCTAACACGCTGTTTCCGGGCGCGGGGAGCGGTATGTACACCCGGTCCACTGCAGCCTTATCGCGGGCTGACCCAGAGCTCTCCATAAGCTCTTGAACGCCCCTTCTCGCTGGCAGCTAATAGCGACAACTATTTTCATTAGATTTACGTTATTTGTAAAAATATAAAAATAAACAAAATGTTTTGATGTTGAAGTGCATACATCAAACTATTTTAGACAAATGCTTGAACACGTCACTTTTAAAACGGGTGGAATATGTGTATGTGTATACGCATAACAAACATAGGTACCCGAACTTGAATAACATGTTCTTTTGCAGCAACCATTTGAGCCGTAGTTACGATTTAGAATACCTTTGCTTCCATTCATGATGCATATGTGATCATGATTACGTAATGGCCATGTTGTCTTTATTTGCATTTTATTGGCAGTAAAGAAATACGTATGGCTTAAATCATCAGTTTCTAAATGTACTTCCAAAAGTATACATTAAAATGCCACGAAATATACTGTTGTGTAGTGTTTCTCGTATTATTATAATGAACAGAATCTTGCTTTTGTAATGTTTTTCATATTGTAAATGCCACTTATTACTGCTTATTGCTCACGTTATTTGTCAGAAACGCTTGCATCTCGTTTACGAATGTCAAACTTTTACCATCCACGTGCTCTTGGATGCGTCTGTACAACAATATGACAGAAGGAATAATGGCATTATACTGACAAACAAAAAATAAAAATTGTGCTGCATGTTTACAACTCACAGATGCAGTAGGATGGGGATGGGGGGTTTGTTTAGTCAGATAGTCTGGTATTTTTGCCTCATTCCTCCATTCAGATCTCTTCTAGAGCAGTGAGTGATGTTTTGGGACTGTCGCTGGGAAACAAGGATTTTCAACTCCCTCCAAAGATTTTCTATGGGGATGAGCGCTGGAGACTGGGTAGGGAAGGGTATCATTTAAAGTTAAAATACTGAATACCAACCTACCTATGTCTGTCTAAACTATGAATGATTACACACTTTGTTTACATTTTTGTTATTTCTTCCACAGGTGTGTAGCTCCCCAAGAGCACCTGGTTTCAATACACGGTTCAGGTTATTCGCAAGGGACAATTTCAATGGAAGAGGCATGGGATGTCCAGGAGCAGCTGAGTGTACTACATTCAGAGGTGTCTCAGGAAGACACATGTTCGGTGCATGAGAAAGAAGATTCCTGCGAGGAGCAGTGTAATGGGGCAGAGGAACCTTTAAGAACTGACTTGTCTGTTGAGCCAGTTCTCATCATCCGTTCTCCTCCTCCAAACTTCCTTCCTGCTCCAGGGCCGCCATGCATGCCCTGGGACAAGTGGCTCAGGTTGTTCGAGAACCATGTGCACCAGATGGAAGAGGGAAAACTAACGGACTCCACCAAGTATGTGCTCCTGCAGAACTGCCTGGGTCAAGAGGGCCAGCGCATCCTTGCCACTCTACTGCCAGGCGAGACAACATATATGGACGCGATTTCCACTCTTGGGGTCTATTTTTCCTCTAGCCAGCCATTGCAGGTCCACATGCTCGGCTTCAACCAGAGGGCCCAGATGAACGGGGAGAGCGCTGGACAGTTCATAAGTGCTCTGGACCAACTGCTCAAACCATTAAACTACCAAGAACTATATGAACAACTCCTCATCAAACAATTAATAGAGAAAACAAACAACCCCAGGCTCAAGCAGAGGCTGCTCTCTGAACCTGGCCCATACTCATTAGCTCGGGCTCTGCAAATCAGCGCTGAGGTAGAGTCCACAGCTGAAGTGAGTGTGTACTTGGATGAAGCAGAACCACCTGTTAAACGAAAGCGTGGCCGCCCAAGAAAGAGTGAGGTCAGAGCAGAAGTGAAAGCGGCAGCTAAAGCCAAACCAGCTGCCAAAATATCATCTGCTGTAAATGCAAAATTCCAACGCACAGCTGTCTCAAGAGGCATGGATGACTATTACTATAGTGGTGATGAGCAGTATTATGCTGACAGCATTGCCGATGTTTCAGAGAGTAGTTTTAATGTTGGCCTTCCATCTACTGTGGCCAAATTAAAAGAAATCAAAACCGAACCAAGTGACAACAACGAAGTCAGAAACTTGGCGAAACGCAACGGCCTCTCCTGTCCGATTTGCCCAGGCAGGCACTTTCGGGGTATCAACAAGCTGATGCGGCACATGCGCAGCCACTCACAGGACAAGCCTTACACATGTCCCGTGTGCTCAGTCACCTTTAGCCAGACCTACCACCTGCTTCGGCATATGAGACGGCAACATGACGCGGGGGAGCATATATGTTCTCTCTGCGGGGTCACCCTTGCCAGTGTAGAGGAGCTGCAGCAACACAAAAAGAGCCACCCAGCTGAACCTGTGACGTGCCCCCTATGCCAGGAGGTTTGCTCGAGCCCGAGGGTGTTTGCCGCTCATGTCAAAAACCACTGCAACACGCCACTGAGTTCCGAAGAGCTGGAGCATTTACCTAAAATGAAAAGGCGCTACAAAAAGAAGCAGGATGGCAAAAAATCTGAATCAATTGCCGTTACAAATTTGTCAGATGAAAATACTAGTGTAAATGCAATTTTAAGCCAGGGTGACGCAGCTAGCTTTAGTAGCAGCATTTCTCAAGATGAAAGCTCAGATCATTTTGATTTCCTTAACCAAGATGTAGATGCAGCTGGTATTGACAAACTGACAGAAAAACTCCTATTAGAGCTTAGGACAGAGGACAGTGATGACGAGAACGAGGCCCTCATTAAAACAGATCTCAAACATCCCCACTGTCACATATGTGACCATGCTTTCCCTAGTTTACACAAGCTGCTCCGACACATGCAGACACACACCAAGCAGAAGCCCTTCCTATGCCCTCTGTGCAGTCTGAGCTTCAGCCAAGGCTACCATTTGACCAGGCACATGAAGGTGCAGCACGGCGCCGGCCTGTACGTCTGCCCCAAATGCGGTGTTGATCTGGCCAGTGCGGCAGAGCTACAAACACACAGACGCGTTCACCCTCCCGACCCGGTAGTCTGTCCTTACTGTGATAAGATAAGTCCTAATTATCACAAGTTTCTAGGGCATTTTAGACGCCACGGCAAGTTGAGTATGACAGAGGAGCAGGTAGCGGGAGTGGGTAAACCAGTGAGTGACAGCACTGAAAGCAGTGACATCAGTGATAGTGGAGCTAAAAAGAACCATGTAGGTCAATGGGAGTTGGTAGATCAGAAAGTTGATGGCGCAGTTGAACCTGTTCAAAAACAAGAAATTGTTAGGCCTACCATTCTGAAAAGAAAGCGTGGAAGACCAAAACGAGTGACTCGCAGCTCGGCACAGACAAATATATCTCAAAGTGAACTAAATACCGAAGAGCCAGTCACTTTGAACTCCGATATAGATGATATTGGTGAGGGATCGAGTCAGACTCAAGGGCAAAGTCCTTTAGAGTCACAGGAAGAAGACGGATCTGATGGTGAATATTTACCTGGGAATGACAAACACTCACAAAAAAAGAAATTTAAAAAATCCAAATCTAATGTTTGTAAATCTAATCTTGTTGAAGTTAATGATAAAGATGAAAAATCTATTCGGAAGATTCCAAAAAGACATTGTTGCCCCATTTGTAAGGACAGGTGGTTCAGGGGTGCTAATAAACTATCCCGACACATGACTGTGCACACCAAAGAGAAGGCTTTCAAGTGCCCTATTTGTGACAAGGCCTTCAGCCAGTCCTACCACATGAAGCGCCATCATCGGGTCCAGCACAGCCAGGGCAGGTACACCTGCACTGTTTGCGGGCAGAACCTGGCAAACTGGATAGAGTTTAAAAATCACAAGAGCCTTCACGAACCAGGTGTTGTGTGCTGTCCTTTTTGTGACAAACAATTCAAGCACAAATCCTTATATTTGAGTCATATTAAAAGTCATAAGAATAGTTCAAAAAGGATCACTGGTGTTCAAAAGAGCTTTGCCTGCTCTGACTGTGGCAGTGTCTTCAAGAGAAAGAATCATTTAAAAAGACACATTTTGCGTCACCGTAAAGAATCAAATGGAGAGTATTACACATGCAGCACATGTGGGCAGACATTTGCCTTCTCAGAAGATCTGAAGAGACACATGAAAAAACATGAGAAAGAGCAAAATGGTATTTGTCCCTTGTGCTCCGAAACTTTTAACAGTCCTGAAGAACTTCAAACACACAAGGAGGAGCTGCATAATAGGATATATCCATGTTCAGTTTGTGGCAGGAAGTTCAAGCTTGAGCATGCGTTGAAGAAACACGAAGAAAGTCATTTAAATGGCCAGTATTATTGTGTACGATGTGCCAAGTTTTTTCAGAAACAATCTCACTACAAGAGACATATGCTGGTGCATAGAAAAAGGGAGCGCACATGTCCACATTGTTACGCAGTCTTTATAAAACTAAATGCTTTTCATGTCCACCTGCGCACTCACATTAATGAAAGGCCCTATCAGTGTGTCTGCTGCCCAGAGAGCTTTGAGCACAAAGAGGAATTTGACTATCACTGTCTCAAACATAAAAAACTGAGGAAGGATCGACCTTACTCGTGCACTCGCTGTGACTGGGCTTTTGCTACACTGACAGAGTTGGCAGATCACATGATCAGTCATGAAGGTGAGCAACCAGCCAACTGCCCTGTCTGTGGAAAAAGCTTTCTGAACAAGAACAAACTGGAGAAACACATGAGTATCCACACCGGCGTTAGACCTCACTTGTGCTCCATTTGTGGCAATGGGTTCCCCTCCGCAGCCAGCCTGAAGCTCCACGTTAATGTCCATACAGGCTACAAGCCCTTCCAGTGTGACCAGTGCCCCAAGAGCTTCAGCACAAACAGCAGTCTGAAGCTGCACAGCCGGCAGCACATGGCAGTACGCCCCAAATTTGAGTGTCCTGATTGTGGCCGGACTTATGGCCGCAAAACGGAACTAAAGATGCACCAACGATACCATACAGGGGACAAACCTCATGCTTGTACTTGCTGTACCAAGCGCTTCATCAGCAGAGACAAACTGAATGTACACATGCGCATCCACACAGGGGAGCGGCCATACTCGTGCCCACACTGTGGACAAACCTTCTCTCAGACTGGAGACAGAAACAGACATATGAAGAAATTCCACTAGTGCTAGAGGAACTCGCTCGCAGTCCTTGTTCCAATTTTGTATAACAGCTTATTGTCCAATCTCTTTTTTTTTTTAGGGCATTCAGTCGCAGTAACAATCATCTGGAACACTGAAGACATTCTTACCGGAAACTCCTGCGCTATAAGTTAGGGGTGTAACAATGCATGGCAATGCACAAATCTCAAATTTTAATGTTCACTTTCATAGTTTCAAAGCCGCATATGTCTATGATATTGTCTGTTACGTAAACAGTCACAAGTGAACATGACAAAACTGCTGTAGGTGTAAGTGAACACCTTTGGAAGTGTTCTACCTTTGTGAAATAAAAACATGTAATTTGATGTATAAAATGTTTGTTGTCACAAAGGAAGATATAATTGATCAAAATATCCATTACTTTGCACATTGCATTGCACCGTGAAGTGGTAAAGAAAAAAAAAGATTTTTGAATTGTTACACCCCTACTAACTACTAAAGTATTGTCTGTGCAGGGATGTGCACAGACAATTGGAGGGACAGGTGCTCAAATGCAAACACATGCAACACCTGCAATTTAAACGTAACATGCTAATGCGACACATCATAGTTTAAAGCAGTATTTCTCAATCTGTGCATTCCTCCTGACAATGCACTCATACGATCCAGTCATGACTTGATGTCTATTTTGAAATGTTAGTATTGCGACGCAATAATCTAATGTAATAACATAGGCTTACAATTAAATACTAGGGAGCTTTTTTAAATCTATTTTGCCCAAAGTGCACTAAGCCTGGTCTGTTTTGGTGTTTTAAAAATAAATGTGTAACGCATAAATCATAAGCACCATGCTAGAGCACCATCTTGGGTCTATCCGTGCACGTCCCTGCAAGCTGCAACCCATTCAATTTTTCTACATTTTACTTTGCTGTACTTACTTTGATGTATCATTCTTATTTTTTCTTGTCAATCTATTATACATTTGAATTTGCAAAAGTTCAAAACACAAAATTATATGTTAGAAATATACATGCCCTTTTCGAAAATACTAAAAATTGAGCTCAGAAGCTCCTTTCATACGGATTGCTGTTGACCACAGGTGGAGCCCACTTGTGGTCAATTCTACTGATTTATACTTGATATGGGAAGGGACATGTCTATTTAGGTCAAGGGAACTGTTTGTAGACCTACGGGACAGGATTACACTCTCAGATCTGGAGAAAGATACAAAAACATTGGAGCCGCATTGTACTACCCAGAGCAGAGTGGCTTCCATCATTAGTAAATCTGCCCAGAGCTGGCCGCCCGTCCAAACTGAGCAATCTGGAGAAGGGCCTTAGCCAGGAAGGTGACCAACTACCTGATTGTCACTCTGACAGAGCTTCTGCATTATTCGAGGGGAGAATCTTTTAGAGGGACAACCATCAGTGCCTGGTTTCCTAATCCAAATGTGATATGTTTGGCATTCAGGCCAAATAGATCTATTTTGGTTTAATTAGATTTAATTATATTAAATGCTCTGAGGGTTAGTTACATGCAGATTCCAAGTGGGCTATCGTAGGCCTTTTACTGGGGAGAGGGTTCTATCTGGCCTCTCTTCCATAAAGGTCTGATAGGGGAAGTGCTGCACTGCTTTTGTATCTTTCCCTCTATGTGATTCTGTCTCGGAGGTCTACACAGTTCCTTAGACATTGTGGTCTGGTTTCTGCTCTGACAATCACTGTCAGCGGTGGGACCTGAAATGCACAAGGATCTCCTCTGAGCTCAGTATTGAGTGTTTTAGCAAAGGTTTTGAATACTGTGATTGGAATATTTTTGCTTTTTGGGCCAAGACTGCTTTGTCGTCATGTCTTTGCAAGTAGATTGACAAAAACGTATTATTTGATACATTTTTTAAAAAGACTCATTGCAAAATGTAGAAAAATGGTGGAGGTCGAATGCACTGTATTTTTGTGTCTTGACCTTTGCCTGAAATGTGTTTTATATATTATTTCAACTTGTTACCAATACTGTATAGACTACAAAGAACGTTTAATTTGTAACATTTTTTCCGGTTACGTATTTTAGTTGATTAAACTCACTGTCAGTAATTGAACATTTAAAACATTACACACAGTTCAGCCATCAGGCACGTGAGTGTGTCAAGTTAGTTTGCATGTACTGTATACTTCATAGACTTTCTATATATACAAAAAAGTGCACTGGATTACATTTGTATACGAGCCATGACAATACAGCTGAAGAAAACCCTTTTTTGTGTACTATCAATATTTGTAAAACTCCACATTATTCTTTTTCATATATTCATTCATTCAGACTTATACATGTTGGAAAATATTGAAAAACTTGCTAACTAAAGTACAGATGATGGGTGAGCAACCATCCTTTGTTTTGAATAATCCCTGTACGACTGAGATCTTACACAAACATGTATCTATGTATATTTACATAGCTTCGTTTTTTTAGACTTTTATTTATGAATACATAAAACCATCCAAATTTAGCTTTAAAAACGTTTATGTGGCACGTCAATTTGACCCGAGGATTGCACAAGCTTTATATACTGCTTATATATTACTGTACTCCCCACGTTTCATACTTAAAGTTGTTAGCTGCTATGGACCAAGATTGAACCGAGGAGACTTTTAAAGCTGTTACCTTTTTGTTTGTTTAATCCATAGTACGTTTCTGTTGTTCTGTCCCAAAGTACATTGTTGTGAAAAAATCAGAGCGTGCACAAACCAGGACATATGCAGACATGAGTCTTCAGTTCTTTACAAATGATCTTTCATTGAATCGGCGGCTTTATAACCACAAAGCGCATGCATGAGACCTGATGTTTCTGTGTGGAGAACTTTATTGTGATTAATACAAAGACATAGAGTAAACAAATGAGCACAGATAACTGGTGTTTCTGATAAATAGCAGACTGAAATTTAAAGTTGGGGTACCTAAATTTTTTTCCATAATTATTGTTGGTCTCAACGGAAAGAGTGATGTAAGACTCACTCCTTAACAAACCTTAACTTTTTTTTCATCTTTTACATACTTGTAAAGAAAGAATCATGTGAGTCACTATTTGATTCTAAAGACAGAGATCTGAATGGCTGAGTGAGGATGATCATCTATTTGTGCTTTTTTGTCTGAAAAAGGCTGATCAAAAGATGTGACAAATGCAAAAATGCATGCATGTGAAAACTAGTGATAAAACCAATTTACATGAGAGCCTGGAACCTGGCACATGTTTTTTTTACATTCACATTTCTGCTTGAAATTTAGTAACTCCAGCTTTGTAGTGACTATTTGTCAAAAAATAGACTATCAAACAAAATGTAACTAAACTTAAGACCATACAAACTCAAATAATCACTAGAAGGCACCATGTGTAAGTGGTTTACGCCGTACAAAATAAACAAATATTGATTCCAGAAAAATTTAAGGTTCAAAAAAGGTTTATTTATCAAGTTGCAGGCAAACAACACAAAAATGCTGCATCTCCAAGAACTGGTAGAAAACCATAGGCCCACCCAGGTGCATGAAGGCCCGCTCTGTACTGACCCTTTTATCCCCTAGGTGCCACTAAACCAAACTGAAGTAAACCCAATATAATCTACAAAAATATCTAAATTACCAAAAAATACAAAAATTTACTTCAGCAAAAAATAGCTAAATATAGAAACATATGCAAAACCCCCAAATAAATTAAATGAATCTAGCCCACAAGCAAATAGCTCCTACAAGCTTGATGTTTTATTTAGCCACAATAAAATGTGCATGTTTTTATTTTAAGTTTACACAGCATTTTTATTGGAAAAATAACATGAGTAGCATGATATACAGGTCAGAGCAGGCACTTCTTACTGTGAAGGCTGAGGTCCTTTGATGTGAGCTGTCAGATGTTGCACAAATTTTACCAATCTGTTGTAGCATGTGCCGTGTTCTTTGGGGTTGCGTGTTGGGGCGGCAGTCTGACCTCAAGAGACAGTAACCGACTCGACAGGCTGATCAGGAAATAAATCAGGTGATATGTAGTGATTTTTCCCTATGATGAACAATTTCAATATTTTGTTTTGACTTGAATAAATGGCATTGCAGTAAAGGCTTACTCCCCAAACACTGACTAATAATCCAAAATTAACATTTAGTCTGCAAGATTATGTTATGGCAAATATTGAGCCTCAGTGCATGTGCGCGTTCCAAAATAAAAGTTTTTACTTCACAAAATATGAATAATTAGTCATATGTAGAGGTGTAATGTTTCCTGGAGGTGAATTCCAGTAATAATCAGTGCTTAGGAACATCATGTGTCACAGGCAGGAAGATTCTGACAACCAAAGTTAGATTGTAATTCTAAAGACCACAAGATTGAATATTATAATACTATTCATTTAAACATGGGTGGGCTGTTATCTTCTCCAGGGGCACACATTGGGAAATCGGTTGTGGAGAGGTTTTCATGTGGTTAATATTTAATTTGAAAGGAAACAATTTCCTTAAAAACTTCTCTATATTTTAAACAACCTCTGCAGTAATTGTAATTATCATCTCATCCAACCTACACATTCTGGTGCTGAATGCAACGAGACGCAACAATGGCACTAGGACGTTCTAGAGGTCTATTCCTGAACACTAGGCGGCAGTACAGCTTCGTGGCGCATGAGGCTGAATCTTCAAACAAAGAAAAGATCTCCTTTCATGGTGTTGAAAATATAAGCCATCTATGGGTTTGAGCTGCTCCAAATTTGGCCAAGTAAAGTGTTTTGATCACATTTGATTCCACAGAGGTAAAATATCACAAATCAGGAAGCAGCACGTTTTTTGCCGAATTCGGATGCAGGTCCTATCCGCGCTAATGCTAATATTCTTTTGCTAATACAAAACAAATATTCTGGCTTAATGTTTATTACAATGTAGCACACGAAATAATAAGCCCTGTACGAAGACTCTGGCCTGGGTTGGCATTGTAAGTGTATTGTATATTCTGTATAATAAGCTTGTAGAATAGTATCCATGCTAACCGTACAGTAGCACAAGAGTTGGCTCGAGCCTTTGCGTAAAGAAAGCGTTTCAGTGTAACGTAATACTTACAAGGCTTAGGTCGAAACATATGTACGTGCCCAATAACAACTGTTAACCGTTTTAACCGGCTAAAGGAAACTCGTATTGTCTTATTATCCCGAGACTGGTGTAAGCCACTCTTAAAATGGCAGAATATACAAATTAATATTAATTGATTAATTAATTTAAAATATCTAGGCGTTCTCTTTTCTTTCTTTCTCTTCAAATATATTAGATCACTCAGATTTATTTTAGGGAGTGTTTAAACTCCTGTATAGAATTTATGTACAAATGTTTTCCAAGTGGCAGTATAAAAAGGGCCCCCTCTCCCACTGAGTGCTTTAGTGGTGATAATGAGGTAGTATTTGGAACAGTGTTTAATTATTTAAAATTAAACTCAAGATTTTGAATTGGTTTTAGCTTATTGTCATGGCTTCCTTTGGATTCACCCGTGCCAGTGATCAAGACGTCTTTAGGATAGGAGAGTCTCACCACCCCAGCCCTGTTACTACTAATAATACAATAACAGGACAAGAGGCAAGAACATTTTATGAAAACTTGGTGAAGGGTGAGGAAAAGGACGCAGCAAAGACTTGCATCCGAAAGAAAAGGGAGAAAAGACTGGAATCAAGAGGAGTTAGGGTAAGAGCCGTGAGTGAACAGCAGTATCATGTGGAAGAAGGGGTAAGAGTGAATGGCGCTAATGAGGAGTGGCAGGAAGGCCAAAGAGGAGATGAAGAGAGAAGAAGAGAGCTGCAAGGGCTGCGGCTGTTGCGCTGTGCCCACCAAGGTGACACGGCCACCCTCAGAGACCTGCTGGACAAGGGAGCCAATATCAACTTCCAGGTACACTACCTTCACCACAGAGTTACCCCACTGAGAATCTTTGGGATATACAGTGAGGTCATGCATTTCCATCATAACGACAAGATCTTCAAGAATAATATAGCTTTGATTACAGCTTATTGTTTGGCACATTTTATAAAACATACACAACTCAAATTTAGGCAAGTAATCTAGACAACCGTTTAATACTACAAGGAATTGGATTTCTCATGTGTTCTGGGAGCCCTACTTTGCTTTTTCCCTCACAAGTATTTTACTCAAAATACTACTTTGAGTAAAAGTACTTCTGTGTCTATGCTGAAAAGTAGTAAGTACTTATGTGAAAAGTTCTGAATTGAGTTAAGTACCAGTTTGGTAAAAATTCTAATTTGATGATAGTACTGTTGTTGAAGCACAAATGTTAAAAACTTTTGAACAGTACAATATTGTTGATTGGCCCAATGTAGTCAATGGGTAAAAAAGTACAAATACGTTTGTAAATACCTCAAAAGGTAAGTGTCAAATGTAATGGCCCAGATTACACGATGAAGCCGTCACAACAAGGTCAAATTTATGAATTTGGTGATAGTGTAGTGCTTTCAGTCTTCTTCAGCCAATTACACTGGGTAACAAAAAAATATTTTTTGAAAATAGTCCAGGGTTTTCCAGCTGAATTAGACTAATTTTGATGCTCTGAGTCAGAAAATGACCTTGGTTTTGCTCAATCAGGTCAGGATTTTTTGCTACAGAAATATTTGTTTAAATCGATTTTGCGTAAAAAAACAAATTTCTGCGGATCATCAGCTGAGAAACCCTTGACGTTTTTTCCGTCTTCCTCAAGAAATAAAAGTCAACGTATCCAAAGTCATTCAGTTTTTATTTACTCCATCAAATGTGATAAGCAGAATTCATAATAACGTAGACGTACGTAATCCGTAACACTATGGCTGTATCTCAAAAAGTTGACCTGATAGAGCAAAATGCATGTGATATTCGGACTCAGAACACCAAAATTAGTCTAAATCAGTTGAGAAACCCCTGACCATTTTTTGGCTGTCAACTTGTGTAATCAATGCTTCAAGTGATTGCATAAGTCTGTGCTGTGTTTCTCTGGTGTGCAGGACTCTTACTTCTGGACTGGCCTGATGTGTGCGAGCTGGGCTGGACACAGGGCAGTGGTCAGGCTGCTGCTGCAGAGGGGCGCGGCCTGGGTGGGAGTGGTGGACCTGCAAGGCTATGACGCCAGGGACCTCGCCACACAGGGTATGACTGGAGAGGCCAGGAGAGTGTGATTATGATGTCACCCATAGTGCTAGACTTATTTCAGAAGAATGGACAGAATAATAAATAACCAAACTCAAGCAGGCTCCAGGAAGGAATCTAAAAGTACAGTATCAAATTATAATTCTTCTGTCAATCTATTTTAAATACCCTGTTATAAGAACTTGAAAAAAGTTGCTTTTTAATCCATTCATCCGTCCATTTTCCTCCGCGTTATCCATTGCCGGTTCAACAATCTAAGTAGACTGCAGACGCAGCTTTCACAACGCAGGGGTCTTCACACCAGAAACCCTGGCCTGCGGTGGCGCCCGCCAGAAGTGTGCGGACGCACACTAGACGCACATGCATTTCGACGTTGGAACGCGCGTCACCATTGACTTTGCATTGAAAGTCGACGCAACGCATGATCCGGTGTGAAAGCAGCATTACACAACAATGACCGCATTGCTGCATCGACCCGTCAGTTAATCCGTGGGAGACCCCTAGATATTTGAAGGACCTCTCCACCCACCTTGTCTGGTCATATCGCATGTATTCACACCTTTTTTCTAGACGTTTCTACAGCTTGACTGGAGCCCACCAAGTGTGTGCTACACATTTATTTATTTAAGGTTCCACCTCCAACAGTGCTGAGCGTGCAGATCCGGGCTCCAGTCAAGTTGTACAAAATCTCAATAAAATCAGTAGAAACAGGTTTTGAGTACTTATGTGATATTTTGGTGTGTTTCATGTTTAATGTCATTATAGGATATTTCAAATAGATTGATGGGACAAAATCAGATATATTTTGGAATTCAACTTTCACAATCTAGATCACAATCATTACACAATCTATAAAAAGTTATGGGTTTAAATTAGAAGTCTACTAATAATCACAATTATTTGCCAAATTAACATTATTTTCACTTTATTTCAATGCATGATCTTGTGCCCTATTGACCCAAGTATAACTTACTTGGGTTCTCACATTAATTTGATAAGACAGTTTGTCTCTAAGCGCTTTCTGGATGTATTGTATAACAGAATGCTGAGTGGAAAACGATATTTATAGATCACAAATAGGAAACCAATTCAAATAAAAGCCACAATATCTGACCCTTCACACATTGACAAAGTGTGGTTGTCTTCCTCTTTTAGTTGGTTATCATAAAATACATTTAATTAGAAATGACTGAATCTGACTTGACCCAGCTTCAATTCACTTTTTGTCAGCGGGACATGGAGAAGTCGTTGAGGAATTTGACTCGTTTGGCAAGAGAGAGAGGAAAGACTCCAATGCTACTGAAAGGTTGGTTCTATAGTATGTGATGCAGCGCTGGAGGATTTGTACTTTTTAAGGAACATATAATATTGTCTGATCTATAGAATTTATTAATTGAATATTGTGTTTAATTTTTCTGGGATACATTTCAACTGTGAGTGACAAAAATGGCATGATTTCAAAACAATTTATTTGTATAATACTGCATAAAAAGTATTTGTCACCACAATGGTTACATTACAAAATATTGGGTTGAACTTTTGTGATTGGCCACATGGTGCACACAATGTAAGGTGACAGCAGTACAGTGAAGTAAAGTGACGTATGAGGGGCTGTAAAGTGACTTTATAAAGAGCATTAGGGGACTTCTAGAGGGCGGGGGGACAGGTTATGAAGTGTTCAAAAGTCCAACAGCAGAGGGGAAGAAACTGTTCTTGTGGCGGGAGGTTCTAGTCCTGATGGACCGCAGTCTCCTGCCTGAGGGGAGTGGTTGGAATAGTCCATGTGCAGGGTGAGAGGGGTCGGCTGTGATCGAGCCAGCCCGGCCTCGAGCTCGGGCGACGTATAGATCCTGCAGCGATGGAAGGCTGCGGCCGATCACCTTCTCTGCAGAGCTCACGATGCGCTGTAGTCTCTGTTTGTCCCTGACAGTGGCTCAGTCATACAATGTTGTTTTCTTTAATGTGTTATTCTGTGTTGAATTGTACCTGTGACGAAGGACCCCCCCTGCATTTGGCAACTGTCAAATATTTGACCCAAGTAAAATGAAAGACTTTAACCAACATTTATCATCTCCAATAGTTAATACCCAATCAATGGGTTCCATTGTGATTAAAGTGAAGATTTCTTTCATTTATAATTCTGACTATGTGAATGAGACACACTTTGTTAACTTTGTGGTTTCTGTGCTCAATACATCTATGTCACTCATGTAGTCTATGTCTGAATATTATGTAACATTATGAACTTGTCCAAACTGATTTTTTTTATCCAGGCAAGATTTTAGGTTTAGATTACTATGTTTTAGTAAAATTAGTATCTATTATTGGGGCTTCAAGACATTTGAATTCTGTGTGTTTGTGTTGTAGCACCTCCTGTCTGCGTCAGTGTGAGGTTTGCGGCACGTCTTACAGCGAGCGCCCCTCGGCCCACCTTTCCTCCACCCTGCACCAGTTCAACCTGGGCCGCACCCCTCCCGCTCCACACTACTGCCTGCCCCCCTCCAGCGCTGGATTCCGAATGATGCTGCGTAGCGGCTGGGCTCCTGGGAGAGGCCTGGGTCCCGGGGGCACGGGGACCAGTCAGCCAGTGCCCACGCGCCTCAAGCGGGATACTCTGGGCCTGGGCTACGGGCGCACGCACAAGGCCAAGGTCACGCACTTCAAGGCCATGGATGCTCGAGCTGTGAGCGACGAGCAGAGACAGGGGCAGCGGGACAATAGGGTGGGCAGGGGGGAAAGAAGGAGTGAAGAGGAGCGGAAGGAGCAGAGCCACAAAAGTTGGGAGAGAGACTTCAGGAGTTCTTTCTACTTGTAGGACACTAATACAGTACCTCCACACGCTGGACTTCTACCAACTCATTATCATGCACAAGATAAGGGAATATTTTGTTATTTGGATTTTCTCTATTTTATTTCTCACTTCATACAGGCGCCTAATGCCTAATTCAAATGTCTAGAATGGACTACAGAACAAGGGTTTGGGCTGGGCAACTTTGGTATTCACTAGAATGTTGATGACGTTTCTTGTTTATATTGAAGCAATATTGACCCCATTACATTTTCTACGAATAAAATCTAAACTGAGTTTGTACAATATATTTAGGGATGTGACAATATCCACAATAAAAAGTTCAGTTCCTTGCGAAAGTCTGGAACGCTTGAGACTCATTGTCATATAATCACGACAGTGATTATAGTACCAAAGTAAAGTTGTACCAAAGTAAAGTTACTTTGGTAAGATTTGGTATGACCTGGGGTAACATGGAGGACGGAAGTCACACTCTGCAGAGCTCCAAAAATGATTGATATTTTAATTGAATGTGGACATATCCAAATTGTGTGCTCATAATGCGCATTTACCAGAGTGCTTACTGTGCGAGTGTGTGCTTACTGTAAAACACTTACTTGTTTTACAGTAAGCACACACTCTCACTGTAAGCACTCTGGTAAATGCGCATTATGATTACTAAGATAACTATCTTAATCATGGTCCTGTCAGTCACACTCAAACACACATTCAACCCTCACCTATTGTACATGTTTTTATTGGTAGGAGTACTCTGAGGAAACCTTCACAAACATGGAGATAACATGATGAACTGACTCACTGGTTTTTTTGTTGTTGCGTTGACTTTTATATATCCCAACGTGGGATTTATGAACGTGTGAGATCCGCCCAGAGCTGAGCGTAAGCACCTGTGGCTGTTGATAAATGCCACATTGAAAACCAACGTAGATTTACGAAAGTCACGCCTATAAATGTGCAGCAACCGCCTTTTTCACGCCCCATTTTTACGACATAGCTGAATGGAAGTCGACCAAGAAGACTGGAAGCCTCAAAAGGCATGTGACCAATGCTCCCTCTAAGCTGCGGGTGTGCGCAATTGCGCAGTGCTTTTAGGGTCTCAGCGCACAGACAACTCTTTCCTGCGCAAACAATGAAAATCCAGCGTCCTGTGCCTCCAGCACAAACGACGCGAGCGCATATTTCAACAGTGTATGGAACATGGTGGATCTGCGCAGGCTTCATTCTCTTAAAAAAAGAGAAAAGGTCAGAGCCTCTCTGTCAGTGACCATGAGGTACACTGTTCGAGTGCGGGAGAAGCGCCCGACACACACGTCTGAAGCTGTGTTGATCCAGAACAGGGCTCGGACCAACTAAACCCTGCACACCGTGAACTTGCACACTCGGTCTTGGGGCTGGGCGATATGGCTGAAAACTATAACACAATATAGGTAATTCATATCGGTTGACAACGATATATATTGATTTTTTTTTTTTTAAACCTAAATAAATAAATTTATTGTGTCGGCTAACATACGTTAGCAGCCTTGTTTACAGTCACAAGGGAATATGTTCACAAGCAGTGTCCTGTTAGTCCTGGTCTACTCCTGATTTAGTCCTGGTTTAGCTCGTGTTTTGGCTGTTTTCGAGTGTCTTGTGTCCCCGTGACGGCTCCAGAAAAAGTTCTTCTCTTGCTTTCGCCAAATGCATCGGGTCTCTGTGTCCACTGCCTCTCCCGTGCCACACATGTTATTCCGCGCACAGACGTGCATAACTATTGACACGGCATTGAAAAAAACGATCTATAGATCCATGGAGGCTACGCATGGTGCGGTTGTTGTTTTTGCATTTTCCAGAATGTTTTGCTGTTCCTGCCCGGTTGTGATAGGTTGAGGAGCCTCTACATACATCCTCCAGAATGCCGCGCGCTTCGGCTTTACATCCTGTTTTTTTCTAACAGAGTGAAGTTGAACTATCGAACATTCTATCGACCTTGTTTTCTATTGATATCAAACACGTGTCTATCGCGATATATATCGTTATCGTTTTATCGCCCAGCCCTACTCGGTCTTGTCGCGAACTTGCGAATGGTGTCTCACGAGCACTACACCAGCTGCAATGTGTGCGTGGAGCCACAAAAACACCTAACGCGCACGCACTTACTGTGTGTAGGGAAGACCAGGTCTGGTCAGACCAGCGTCCCCTTCAGTTCAGCACAAAGTTGCCTATTGGTGAGTAAAGTTGGTTTTGTGGCAATATGACTATTATTATCTTAGATAATTATTGGTCTATGTGTTTTATTTTATAATGCCATATGACTAAATAAAACCATATATACTATGTATAAATATACTCTAGTTGTGAAAAGACAATATCCACCTTGAATATTGTTTTTTTTGTGCAATTCACTAAATATATTCCTCAATCTACTTTAATTCACCATCTGTAAAAGACTCATTTTACTGCCACAAACTCAGCTCGTTAGCTCTGCTCTGATCAGCAGCGCTGATTGGTCAGAGTGCGGCCGAGCCCCTCTGTGCACGTGCACGAGACACAAACACACGCGTATATGGTGCAACACATAATGGAAGCTCGCCCACTGCATCTTTCGGCGCCCCTGCCGGCACATGCACCACTGATGTTATTATAATAGATCCATAACCACTGAGCACAAACCATTCATTTGAATATGGCGCCATCTTGGATCGCCGGGGCTTGGTCTGGAGGTGGAATTGAACCCAGGACCATATTGCTGTGAAGCACAAGCTGTCTGCTGTGGCGTTTTATAGCTATTTCATAAAAGGAGAGCTTTTTTATTTTATTTAACATTTAAAAAACATCTATTCTCACCTGTGAATGAACTGAGGTGTGCTTTTTTAATATTGACTTTGTTTTAAAGCTCCTCCCACAGTCTGTACATTTGTGCAGCCTCTCATCCGAGTGAACCACCATGTGTCTGTTCAGCTCAGATTTCTTTTTAAAGCTCTTCTCACAGTCAGAACAACTGTAAGGTTTCTCTTCAGAGTGAACTAACATGTGTGAGCTTAAATTTCTCTTTGCTTTAAACCTCTTCCCACAGTTGGCGCAGCTGAACGGCCTCTCCGAGTGAGTCAACATGTGCAGCTCTAAATCACTTGTAGTTTCTAGTCTTTTCTCACAAACTAAACATTTGTGAGGCCTCTCATCGGAGTGAACCAACATGTGTGAATTTAAACGTGACTTTGTCTTAAAGCTCTTCTCACACTCAGAGCAGCTATGAGGTTTTTCTTGAGAGTGAAAAAACATATGCTTTTTTAGATGAGACTTTGTTTTAAACCTCTTTTCACAGTCTGAGCAGCTGAAAGGCCTCTCTTCAGAGTGACTCAAAATGTGACCCTCTAAATCTCGACTCGTCTTAAAACATTTTCCACAAACTGAACATTTGTGAGGCCTCTCAACCGAGTGAACCACCATGTGCTCGTTTAGGCTTTTTTTAACCCTAAATCTTTTCCCACAAACTGAGCAGCTGTATGGTTTCTGTCCTGAGTGAATCATTATGTGTGATTTTAAATGTGAATTGTATAAGAAGCTCCTCCCACACTGTGAACAACTGAATGGTTTCTCTCCCGAGTGCAACTTCATGTGTGCAACTAACTGCCTACGCCACTTGAACTTTTTCTCACATACTGAACATTGATGAGGCCTCTCATCTGAGTGAACCATCATGTGTTCATCTAAATATCCTCTTTTTTTGAAGCTCCTCCCACAGTCTGAACAGCAGAAGGGCCTGCGGTCTGTGACATATGTGTCCACAGGAATCATGGCGTAGCTTCTTTTTGCTGGAGCCTGTTCTGGACTATAGTCTTGTGAGTGGTCTGTGTCTTCAGCGCTGTCAGAGTGCTTCTCACTATCTTGAGTTGGTCTTTGATGAAGCACAGAGGACTCGTCTTCATCTTCTTCAATTTTCACAGTGATGATGTGAAAAGGAAACTCTTCTGGCTCCTGCTTGATGCATAGCTCTGGCTCCTCTTTAAGGTGGAGTGGCGCCACGCTGGACACAAACAATCATTAATTGGGATGGTGGGTGACACTATTAACGAATAAATAGTCAGGGAAGGCTAAAAATCTTAACCTGTTAGTCAAGCTGCATAGGGAGTCAGTGTGCTGGGAGAAGTATGGTAACTTGAGCACTATCCTCTCCTCCATCCTACTTTATCTGTTTAGCATTATTAAGATTTTGACTGTAGTTTGTTCATTGCAAGGTGCTCATTTTGCCATATGAATGAGAAAAAGCCTTCTGGTTCAAAGCTGCCAAGATGACTTTATTTGGTAACTTTATTTATATAGCACATTTCATATAGCCAATTTAGTAAACAAAGGTCACACAGAAATGTAAACAGTTTTATTTGTTGTAATTGTATTGTATATAAGTGCAAAAAAAAAGTCTTTTCATCACATTATTTTGATCAATTGGGGGATATTGGATCCTTTCCAAAGGCACACCAAACATCATCTCAAGGCACACTAACGTGCCACGGGCCACTGGTTGGAAAACACTGCTATAAAGAGTGGAACTGTGTCTGGACACTCACCACAGCTCCGTCTGCTCCAGCTTCACTTCTGCCATGTATCTGCTCTGTGGCTTAAGACTCGGCTGATGTTAGCTCAGGTAACCTAGTTCCTGCTAGCTTCAGAGCTATCTCCCAGGACAACACAGTGCACCATTCGGTTCTTCTTGAGGCGCATCTCCGCCAACCGCCGTAAATAACTGCAGGGAAGTTCCACGCGGACAAATACTCGTGGTCTTTGAACTAGAGTTGGCGTTTGTGTGTTTCACCCGCATATCACCAGCGTCTCGACGATTCGGAGTCAGAAATAGTGTGCGCATGCGTGCACAGAGCGAACCACTCGGTGTGTCAAACATGCGAAGAGATGGAAAGAGGCTGTGACAGATGCGGCGTCTGGAGTACCGCGCCGCCATCTTGGACCGGTCGCCCTCTCCTCAGCGTAATTAATAGTTACCTAATGTAACTTAAGTTCTACGAATAGGTGCGTAGTCCCTTAGGACTTCGCTAGTGGGATATCACTCGTGACCCCCAGGTCACACGCCAGAGAGATCAAAATAATTTGCTCCAATCACCAGCCACCCTTCTCTATAAATGCCCCTGCACAAGGCCGCACCCCCTCTTGAACTCTGCCAAGCCGGGCTGGCCTGATGGGCTCGTAGCTAAGGGACTACGCACCTATTCGTAGAACTTAAGTTACATTAGGTAACTATTAATTCTACGTCATGGTGCTACGTCCCTTAGGACTTCGCTAGTGGGACACAACGCGGAGGCCGTAGGAACATGTACTCCCAGCAGGCCAGCGAAGGGTGATTGGAGCTCCGCCCGAGCAAGACCCTCACACAGTGAGAGGACTCAGGGCAGAAGAAACAATGCGTGTTACAGGGCCACTCCTACCAAGGATACCCCCACGTAACACAGATGTAGGTCATCCGTAGTCACAAGACGCCTCTCCCAAGGGCTCCTGACGTGGACTACCTGACCGACCAAACACACATATATGTACCGCACCTGTAGGATGCCTCTCCCAAGAGCTCCTGAACCAGGGCGGAAAGTAAACCGAAGGCCCCCTCAGAGGAGGGACCTAACGGTCTAACTCAGTCCGCTGCACTCAGCACGGAATGGGCCACCGACCGGTCCGACACATCCAAAAGATAAGACCGGACGAAAGAGGAGGACGACGCCCAAGAAGCCGCACGGCAGACGTCCTCGACCGACACCCCCCTGAGAAGGGCCGTAGAGGCCGCCATCCCACGCGTGGAATGCGACCTGAAGCCCACCGGGAGGGCCAGACCCTGCGTCTAATACGCCCGCCGCACAGCCGTGGCGACCCAGTGCGCCAGCCGCTGAGCCGACAGCGGGGCGCCCCTGTTCTTGGGGCCCAGACACACAAACAGCTGACCACCCAACCTGAATGACGACGTCATGGCCAGGTAATGCCTCAGCATTCTGACAGGACACAGAAGGTGCCGCCGCTCCTCCTCGGGGGAGGCATGCGGTGGCGGATAGAAAGCCCTAATCCTGATGACTCTCGACCTAAAGGCCGACGTGATGACCTTGGGGAGAAAAGCCGGATTGGGCCACAATACCACCATGCCGTCGTCCTCTCCAAAGGACAGGCAAGACGCATGGACAGAGAGCGCACACAAGTCGCCCGCCCTCTTAGCAGACGCCAACGCCAACAAGAGGGCCGTCTTAAAGGCGACACACTCGGGACTCGCCTCCGCCGCCGGTTCAAAAGGCGGACCCGACAGCCCCCTAAGGACCACCCTGAGGTCCCAAACCGGGGGCGTTCTCTGGAGCGGGGGCCTCCTCCTGCGTGCCCCCCGCAGAAAACGTTTAACCAACGGATGAGAGCGGGCTGTGAACCCCCCGAATCCGTCGTGACCCGAAGTAATGGCTGCCGCGAACACCGCCAAGTTGGCGACAGCCCTCCCCTTGTCAAAGAGCTCCTGTAGGAATCCCAGAACCCCCTCCAGCGGGCAACGCCTGGGATCCCGGGAACGAAAACCGCACCAGTCGCTGAAGAGCCTCCACCACGTGGCGTAGGCCCTCACAGTGGACGGCGCCCTCGCCCCCTGAGTGGTCTCCACCACCGCAGGGGGAAGACCCAGGTCTACGAGGTTCCGCCTCTCAGCCTCCAAACCCAGAGCCTGCGGCCGATTATCGGGCGTGAAAACAGGGCTCCTCCCCCCTGGACTAGAGCCCCCGGCTCGTCCGGGAGGGCCCAGGGCTCCATCACCGCCATGCCCCTCAGGAAGGGGAACCACCGGGCATGCGGACTGTCCGGCGCCACCAGGATCACCGACCTCCTCTCCTGTTCGATCCTCCGCAGCAGGACCGGCAGGAGACGCACTGGTGGGAAAAGCGTACAGCAGGCCCCCTGGTCAGGGGTAATGAGCCAGAGCGTCCACGCCTAAGGGCGGCTCGTCCGCGGCCCTTGAGGCGAACCACTGGCGAAAAGGTCGACCAATGGACGGCCGAACCTCCGCCAGATCTCCGCAGCTACCCGTGGGGCCAGGCCCCACTCGTCCTGGAGTGGGCCCCCCCCCTGGACATCCTGTCGGCCCCCACGTTCCGGACCCCCGGGACGTGGCGCGCCCTGAGAGACAGGAGGTGAAGCGCCGCCCACAGCAGCGTCACCGTCGCCATGCGATGGAGAGCGGGGGACCTGGTGCCCCCCTGCCTGTTCAGATAGGAGACCACTGTGGTGTTGTCTGAGCGCACCATCACGTGTCTCCCCTGCAGCTGAGGAGCAAAGTGCAGCAGTACCCTGTGCACTGCCTCCATCTCCAGCAGGTTGATGTGACGGCTGAGTCCGACCAGCAGCCTCCTACAGAGCTCTGGCCGAGGACCCCGCCCCATCCTTCGAGCGACGCGTCCGTGAACACCTCCACGTGAGACACGGCGCAGGCCAGAGTCACTCCGTCCCGCAATAGACCCGGAGTGAGCCAGAACCTGATGTTCGATGCTGCCACTTGGGGAACCCAGATCAGCCTCCCCCCGTCCCGGGAGGGGTGAAGCCTGAGGCGTGAGAACCACCTCTGAAAATTCCTCATGTGGAGAAAGGCCTAGCCGCACCACAGCATGAGCCGCCGCCATCATTCCCAGCAGGGACCTGAGGCGCCGAGCGGGGACTCTGGGGCCCGCCAGAACCTCCCTGGGCAGACGGGTAGTGTTCATCCGTCTGTCCACGGACAATGCAGCACGGAATGTCACAGAGTCTAACTGCAGACCGAGATAAATCATGCGCTGAGCGGGCTGCAGCTTGCATTTCTCCCTGTTTACCACAAAGCCCAGACGCTGTATGTGGGACAGGACCCAGTGCGTAAGACTCACGGCCACTTCCCTGGATGAGGCCAGAATTAACCCGTCGTCTATGTAGGTTAAAATTCTTACCCCTGCGCGTCTGAGCGGCTCCAGTGCTGCCTCCACGCACTTGGAAAAAGTGCGAGGCGCGAGTGCGTAGCCCAAGGGGAGACGGCAGTAACCGTAATTCCTCTCTCCCACTGCAAAGCGCAGAACCTCCTGTGTTCCGGCACTATCGGCACGTGGAAGTACGCATCTGTCAGGTCTATGGAGGATATCCAATCTCCCTGCCTGACACACTCGAGGAGCTGCTTTGTGGGCAGCATCCGAAACTGCCGTTTGGAAATGCACTCGTTCAACACGCGCAGATCCAAAATGGGACGCACCCCGCCTGACTTCTTTGGCACTAAGAAGTAAGGGGAGTACAGCCCCCTGGTGGCGTCCTGCGGGTCTACCTCCCCTGCTGCGTCTCGACTCAGCAGGGAGGAGACCTCCGCTTGCAGTGCCTCTAATGATCCCCGTACCTGAGAGCGTGCTGCCCGTACGCCTCGGAATGGTGCTGGCTTCCGGGAGAATTGCAGTGCGCAACCCCTGCGCAATGTTTTCTCCAACCACAGATCCGTCAGCAACCTTGCTCCCTCCAGATGCTGTAGAAGTCTGTGAGGGGCGGAACGGGAGCTGGAACACGAGACGTCATGGCCCCGCCCTCTCCTGGTGTTCCTAGCAGGGAGGGGGGGTGGACGAAAGGGCCGGGGGGGGGGGCCCTGCGTCACACCGTGAGCGCCGGGGGCGGTCACGTGTCCTGCAGGCCCGACGTCATAAGTACGGGACTGCTCATCCCACGTGACTCGGCTGCTGTGCCCCCCCCTGGCTCTTGCCTCATGGAGGGGGGGGCAAGCCCCTGGAGTGGGAGACCCCGTGTTAGCCTTGTAGCTCAGAGATGCTAACACGCGTTCGGCCGAAGCACACACACCACTACTCACCAGATCCCTCCGCCTGACCACTCTCTGGGAGGGCATAGCATGAACCAGAGAACCGGAGCTCGTAGCTCGCGTAGCGCACTGCACACCCGGCTCTGGGGGCTGCAGGCCTAGCGAAGCAACGTTATGTGCTCGGGAAGTAACACAATCAGAATTCACACTATTTGACATGTTACATACCCCCAAATGAGACTCAGAAACGAGTAATGATGAAATGCCGGTCGGCCTTTATTGAAGGAAAACTTTCCACCCCGACCTCCTCTGCCATAGGGAGGTCGGCGGTGGGTGCGTTGCTCCCGCGAGCCACCCATGGGTCTGTCTGGACCCAGGGGCCTCGTCGAGGGGGGACGATGGACAACCGAGCGCGGATACGGGTCAGGATGCCTGCCGGGCGAACGCTCTCGACCCCTGTCCCGGCTCCGTGATGGCTGGTGGGCCTCGCGCCTCGGTGCTAGGTGCGGGGCTAGCCTAGCCGAGTCTTTAGCTGCAGACTCCAGTCTCGCCACCAAGGCCTGCATGTCCGGGCCGAAGAGGGACATCTGAGAGGTGGGCAGGTCCAGCAGCTGCCTCCTCTCCGCCTCCCTGATATTAGTCAGCCCAAGCCAAAGGTGCCTGGCCCCGACTTGGGCTGCTGCCATGGAGCGGCCACCATCCACAACTAGCGTCTGGCACATGCGCAGAGTCACCGCCGAGGTGGTCCTCGCCTGTGACAGGAGGTCTCCACTGAGCGCCTGGCCAGAAGAGAGCGACATATCCAGGGCCCCCGTGATGAA